GGTGAAGTGTTTTGTGCACTTTAGGATGTTCGGTAGCATGCCATACCACATGCCAGTAGGCGCCTCACATTGTGAAACCAAGAATGTCTCCAGACACTACCAAATGTCCCCTGGAGGACAAAATTGCTCCCAATTGAGAACTACTGTCTTAGGGTCTATGGAGTATATACTGTATTAGGATGCCCCAGAGAGGGGTGCCTGGTTGGCTCAGTCGGTGGAGCGTGCAACTCTGATCTCGAGGTTGTGAGTTTGAGCCCCACGTTGGGTGTAGAGATTACTTAAAAATAATAAAATCTTAAAAGAAAAAAAGGATTCCCCAGAGAAACAGAACCCAAAGGACATGTATGTAGAGAAATGAGATTTGTTATAAGGAATTGGCTCACGTGATTATGGAGGCCGACAAGTACCAAATCTGCAGGGTGGGCTGGTGGGCTAGAGACCCAGGAGCCTTGATGTTCTTTTGAGGCCACAGGCTGTCTGCTGTAGAATCAGGAAGAGGGATGTTGCAGATGAAGTCTGAAGGCATTCTGCTGGAGAATTCTCTTGCTCAGGGGAGGCTGCTCTTTTTGTTCTATTCGGGCTTCAACTGATTAGAGGAGGCCCCCTCAATTATGAAGAGCAATTTGCTTTACTCAGAATCCATCAATTTAGATGTGAATCTCATTCAAAAACACCCTCACTAAAACACCCAGAATAACGTTTGACCAAATAGCTGGGCACCCTGTGGCCCAGTCAAGTTGATACTTAAAATTAGCCATTATAGATACCTAGCTATCAAGGTCACTGCTTCCTGAAGCTCACATTTGAGGCAGTGACCCAAATGATAAACAAGTGTTTCAGTTGTCTAGCACTGGGTAACAGACCATCCCAAACTTTGTGGCGCAGAACAGCGACCATTTTATTATGTGCATGTGTTTTTTTTAGATCCAAAACTCACACAGGGCACAGAGGGGATGGCTTGTCTCTGCTCTGCAGAGTCTGAGACCTCAGTTGATAAGACTCAAACTACTAGGAGTTATTTAAGTGGCTGGAGGCTGAAATCATCTGGAGGCTTCTTCAATCGTGTGTCTGGAACCTGGACTTCGATGACTCGAGCTGGGCTCATCTGGAACTGTCACCCAGAGCACACACATGAAACCTTCCATATGACTTGGGCTTCTCTTGACATCACAGCTGGCTTCCAAAAGGGAACACCCTGGACGGAATGTCTGGAGAGTGAGTGTTCCAAGACATCAGGCAGAAGCGGCAAGGCCTCTTGCAACCTAGCCCTGAAAGTCATGCAGTGTCACCTCCACTATGTTCTGTTGGTCACACGTGATCACCAAGGACAGGCCAAACTCAAAGGAGGGGAATTAGGTACCACCTCTCGATGGAGGAGTGACAAGGTCACATTGCAGAAGACCATTTTGGGTGAGAGATAAAGATAGATATAGAATATATAGAATATATAACTTTATATATTATATAATTTATTTGCTGCAACAAGTAAGCAAAAATCCTATATAATTAATTTAAGTAGAGCTAAACAGTAGTGGTACCGAAAATATTTAGATTGCAAATGGATGCAAGGAATCTTTTGGGGTGATGCAAACATTCTAAAATTGAATTGTGATGATGGGTGCACGATTCTGTAAATTCACTAAAAATCATTGACTGTATACTTACAGGAATTGGACGCCTATCATATATACTGTTAGCATGCCACAAGCATTGAAGAATCAGAATAGCCATGGGTGCTGACCCTAGTGCTAGAACAGAGCCCCAGAGATCCCCTTCATGTACTGGGTAGTGGGAAGGTCTCAGGTGTCTGGGAACAGAGGTGGCCAAGATAACTGGGAGACACTCAGGGTTGCAGGGCAATGGCTATTTACAAACTTGGATAGAAATATTGTATTTTTTTTTAAGATTTTATTTATTTATTTGAGACAGAGAGAATGAGAGACAGAGAGAGACAGAGAGCATGAGAGGGAAGAGGGTCAGAGGGAGAAGCAGACCCCCCGCTGAGCAGGGAGCCCGATGCGGGACTCGATCCCAGGACTCCAGGATCATGACCTGAGCCGAAGGCAGTTGCTTAACCAACTGAGCCACCCAGGCGTCCCGAAGTATTGTAGTATTTTACCAACCAACATTGAGTGCTTTGATAAGCATAAGGCAGAGTAAAGGAACTGGAAGGACAGGCCAGGGGCAGAGGAGAAGCATTTTAATATGGTAGCAAGGGAAGCTCCTTCTGAGAAGGTGACCTTTGAACAAAACACCTGAGTGAAGTGAAAGAGGAAACCCCATGAGATCTAGAGGGAGAGAAAACCAGGAAAAAGGAAAAGCAATTATAAGGCCCTGAGGCAAAAATGAGCCAAGTTCAAGGAGGAGCAAGGAGGACAGCAAAGCTAGGTTGAAAAGAGTGAGGAGACTGCCAAATGTCTATGTCCTATAATCTAGGAGATACCCTATCCCTGCTTCAATAACACAACAGCTGAAAGTACTGGTAGGAATAGAGATAAAGTCCACAGCACCCATGAACTTGATCATTGGCACACCCTTCCTGTGACCCTGATGGAGCCTGGGACTTAGCTGTACTATGGATTACAGTGGATGCGGGCACACGTATGGCCCTCAAAATAGACGTTCTGAAAGAATGGAGCTTTCCTGGGTGACGTACCACAGCGTGAGTCCTAGGGAGCCTCAGTGCAAGGCAAGGATTTCCCACCACTGCAGGGGACTCTTGATTCTCCACCTTCCCTGATGGGTTTTGGGAAGTGCGCTGCTATATTCCTTCTGTAGAACTTTCGAACACTGGTAGATGATATGAGGGAATTAAACCACATCACGGGCTTAGTGAAAGGAACCAATAGATAAAGAAGGCAGAGAACGGAATTCAAGATTGACTACTGAAAATGGAAAGTGGGAAAGCAGTAGAGAAAAGGGGAAATAAGAAAGAGGGAAGTGGAAGGGTTGGGAAGGCTGGAGTAAATTTTACACCCTGACGTTGGTGAGTTATAGCCATATCCAGATAGCCTATTCAACAAAGGAGCTAGGACTGCTTAGAGGGGCGAGAAGAAAATAAAATAGGGTCTCAATTAATTCAAGATGACACAGTTGCCTTAGCCTTTGATACTGGATTAAATGATCACATAATTGTGACAGAGAACACAGACGCGGTAGATTTAAGCAAAACTAAATTGGCATATTTTTAAAAGCAATATGGCAGCTCTGAGCCTGCCACAGAATTAAAAGGAGAGATGCAAGCCCTCCTGTTGGAGAGCTGGCCTACAGCTGAAAAACATGGTCAGTTCTTTCTTTTTCTTTCTCTGCTGTCTCTGTGCTCTAATTTAGCATGAAATGGTGATTTTTTTTTTTTCATGAAACGGAAGAGCAGACAGTGGGAAACAGAGTAAGGCTCCCTCAACCCCAAGCTATGGTTAACTCAGTAAGCCCATTCTTCTTCTTTTTTTTTTTTTTTTTAAAGATTTTATTTATTTATTTGAGACAGAGAGAGTGAGAGAGAGAGCGCAAGAGGGGGTAGGGTCAGAGGGAGAAGCAGACTCCCCGCCGAGCAGGGAGCCCGATGTGGGACTCGATCCCGGGACTCCGGGATCATGACCTGAGCCGAAGGCAGTCGCTTAACCAACTGAGCCACCCAGGCGCCCAGTAAGCCCATTCTTCTAATAAAGAAATTCAAATCTAGATACAATAGGTCTCCCCAGATTCTCTTTATGAGACAATTGATGGTTTGGATGTGATAGCCATTCCAATAAAGGCCCAAGATTTCTTGACAAATAAAAATTTTTCCAATGAAGCATAAGATGTTCCAGAATTGTTAAAACAGCTTGATTGTTTGTATCCATTTCTAAGTTCAAAACCCGTATGGAAAGAATTCAGTGCTAGGAACCAGTACCAAATTTGTTTGGAAGCAAAAGTTGCAGTTTCTTTAATAATATATATGTATATGTATATATATGTGTGTGTGTGTGTGTGTCTGCGTATATATATAATATCCAAACAATCTAATGTAAAATATATTACCAAATATTTTTATGAATACCCAGCATTTTGTTGAAACTGTCTTTTAATGCTGCAGCGACTGGTACCACTCCAATACTGAATGTGTCGTTAGTGGAGCAAGGGGGGCAGTAGGGAAGGGAGGGAGCCTAGGGGAAATGGAGTAAATGACAGAAAGAATGACCTCAGAGGAGAGGGAGAGCAAAATGTGGGAGGGAGACCTCACAGACGGGAGAGCAAGATGAGAAAAGGAGAAGGGCCGGAAGACTGAAAATGGGAAGAGGGTGATCTTAGTAAGTTTTGCATCTTTCCCGAAAAAGAGAGGGAGGAGAGGTTAAGTAAAAGAAAAACCAGAATTTGCTAAAATGGGAACAAAATAGATACTGAAACACTGAACAAAACGCTCTAGAAGGAGAACAGGAAATCTCTGCCCAGCTGCTCCTATCTCTGCCGCGGGTACACTCAGCCCCCCTCCCAGGCCGGGGCTGGCATCTGTTTGCAAGTGGACCCTGTGCTCCTCTCCTACAAGCTGTAGCAGAAGGAGTTTTAAATGTTCCTGTACAATCAGTTACCGGCTTGTTATCAGAGCTCAGTCTCCCCCAGGCTGTCTGTAGACAGCAGGAATTTCTCGCAGGCAATCAGAGTAACGCAGCGTCTCACAAGCCCCTGGCCAACAGAGATGCTAGGGAAGAACCTTAAGGAAAGGTGGACCGGTGCCCGCGACAGGTGCTCTCCTTTAGCAACAGCTCCTCAGCCTCCGTATGCTGTAAGGCGGTCTCCTCAGACCTTAACGGGCACGGGAGTCACCTTGGCGGTCTTGTTTAAATGCGGGTGCCGGTCAGACGGGCTGGGGCAGAAATTGTGCATTGTAACAAGCCCCTGGTCACACCAGTGCTGCTGGTGTTCAGTTCCAGAGCACACCCTGGTGACCCCTGAGTGAGTCAGGGTGTGTGTGTGTGTGTGTGTGTGTGAGAGAGAGAGAGAGAGAGAGAGAAAGGAAAGAATCCAGAAGCACATTCTCTCCTGCAGGTGAGTCAGGAGGGGTGTGTGTGTGTGTGTGTGTGTGTGTGTGTGTGTGAGAGAGAGAGAGAGAGAGAAAGGAAAGAATCCAGAAGCATATTCTCTCCTGCAGGTGAGTCAGGGTGTGTGTGTGTGTGTGTGAGAGAGAGAGAGAGAGAAAGGAAAGAATCCAGAGCACATTTTCTCCTGCAGGTGAGTCAGGAGGGGGGTGTGAGAGAGAGAGAGAGAGAGAGAGAGAAGGGAAAGAATCCAGAAGCACATTCTCTCCTGCAGGTACACAGAGAAAAGGTGGGAAGCCGCACAGGTCCTTTGTCCCTTTATTGCTGCACTTTGCCGGACTCCCCAGCATCCGGAGGGACCGCAGATTCCCGTGAGCACTCGCAGGCGGGTGGGCTTCTCACCTGAGCCGGCCCCGAAGCAAAGCCCACAGTGAGTCCGCGGGGAAGGACGCGAGCTCAGAGGCTCTGGGCCCGAAGGCTGGCCTCTCCGACTTTTCCTGCCTTCTCACCCAATCCTACCCCCTCAGAGAAAACAGTAACTGTCTCTGAATCATGCCGATCTGAACGCCCCGGGCGTGGTGGAAAGCTTGGGTAATGGAGGCAGATATACTGAGAGGGTGCGAAAAACCAGACTTCAGTCTCGAGGCTAGGGGTTTGACTGATTTCTCCACCCACCGTAAAGATGATCCTGATACAGAAGCTTCCTCGGAGCCCCGTGCGTTTGTGGGGGAGACAGAAGGTGGGAGTGCTCGTAGCCTCTGCTCCAAGGCGAATTAGCCCCTAGAAGGAACTCTGGATGGCCTGGCGCGAAGAGTTTGAATGGGCAGTCCAGGCCCGGCTGGTGTGACTTCATCTTTACCTCCTTTGACAGAACTGCGTGTTGCGTGAGGCGGTGTGGGTGTCCTCAGAGGTAGCTACCTAAGTTTGCATACTTCCTGGCTGACAGAGCACTCCTGCCCGTGCCTCGGGGCCGGGTGGTGAGGGGCAGTGGGAGGAGTAACCAAGTTTCACTTCCTTGCTGGTTGGAGACTCACAGCCACAGCAGGCTTCTCTCTCAGAGGAGGAGAGGGTGAGGAGCGGTGGGACCCATCTCTCTCTCTTTCTCTCTTTCTGTCTCTCTCTCTCTCTCTCTCTCTCTCTCACTGCCTCTTCCCGTCATAGCACCTGGCAGAGGCTCAGCGGACGTGAGGCGCGCGAATGGGCAGAGCAGAATCCCTAGAAGGGAAGATGAGCGCCCAGGATCCTTCAGATCTGTGGAGCACATCAGACGGAGAAGCTGAGCTGCTCCAGGACTTGGGGTAAGAAAGCAGGTCTTCTTTTCACAGTACTGCTCTGGTGAGCGTGGACTCCCAACCGCCACCCAAATGCTCGCTTTGGTTGATTTTCTTTAGCACCCTGCCATCGGGCTTCGCTGCCTTCCACTTCACTCATCTGTGAAGGCATCCTCCTGCTTGGGGCCAATGGCATTTTCAAAGCATACAGTGTTTTCCCAGGTGTGAAAACATGTTAAGTGGAGAAAAGGGGATGAAAATCAAATGTTGGGCATTCTTCGAGACTAGGGACAGAATCGAGATGTGTGAGCTGATGTCGCTTGGTTTCCTGGATATGGATCTGGTTGATGAATAAAAGTGCTGTTCAAACGCCTGGGGCTCTAAGCTATTGACCGTAAGAGGGCTGTCTTGCCAGTAAGATAAGCAGAAAGCCTAGCCTGCTGCATGGGAGAGGGACTTTTTCAAAACGAAAGAATGAGGAAGTGTCTGCACTGTCCCATCTGGGTTTCTCTCTCCTGACACCGTGTTTGCGAGCTCTCTCGTTTGTTTGGTAGGCACCACTTGGAGTCTTTTAAATACTAACGAGTCAGGAGGAGGATTACATTTCTGCCTCAAGCAGGTTTTAAGTTGAGGTAGGTGGAGTAGGTGGAGTCATCGTAGTCCTGTCTTTAAGAAGGGACCAGATGAGACAGCCCATCGGGGTATTTAACAAAAGAAGCAAGCATTACACAAGATAGGTGTAGGGGGTTTCCTAGAGAAACTGGACCTTTACCCTGAAGCACCAGAAATATCCAAACGAGGTTGGTTTTGACACCTGGGCTTCACAAGCGACAAGACCAGCGCCTCTTCATAAACAGGACTAACTCCATAGCAACCCACTGGCATAGAAACTGTGGTCTCCATCTTACAAAGGAAGAAAATGGCACCAAAGGGGTTGAGAAACTTGCCTGTGTCACACATCAACAAATGGCAAAGCTGGGATTTCAACCTGCAAAAGCCTATGTTCTTTGCCCGAGAAAAACTAAAACAGGGATAAAATCTCTGCATTAAGACGGCAGAGATTGTAGCTTTTGGTGTCGTATTACTGTAAAAGTTCTCAATAAAGTCCTGTCTTCAGATTTTAAAATGGAGGTGTCAGAATTGAACTCCACTTTCACAAGGTAAACCAGAAATAACAGCTAGAATTTTCTATAAAGTCAACTCCCCTTACTGGGAATTCAGAGTTCTAGGATACCACCGTTCTTCTAGGTTGAATCTCCAAAGAGAGAGGGTAAAATACACCTGAGCATCCAAATGGGTGTCACGGAGTCCAGGCTAGACCCTTGGGCTCTCACTTATAGCCTTATTAAATTATTAAAGTATAATTCTTTACATGCTTCATTATCAATATTCCCAGCCCATGATCAGCAGGAAGCTCCAAAGGAGAAGAGAAACAAAGGAGGTATTCAATTCTGGTTCTTTAATTAAACCATCCTGAGCCCACATTCTATGCTTGAGTGACGTTGTCACCTCCTTGGATGACAAGGATGAACTAGATGATGTCTCTTCTCTCCACCATATGTCCGTAACAGGAAGCGACTATGGGTAAAACCCACAAGGAAAACAGAATTGTGCCTTCCCTCCGTGGTCAAAGAATGGACGTCCAGTACAACCCAGAAACACCCCAAACAGGTGCATTTATGTCCAGACTTCTGTATTTCAGAGGGCTGGGAAATTTACTATTACTAAACATTTGGGGATGGTTTCCGTAACAACAGACAAGCTACAATGATCTGGAAAAATTGCTCTACGATGCAGGTTCTCAACCTTAGCTCTACGCTGGTGTACACAAAGAGTTTTTAAAAATTCCTGTCCAGGCGGGCGCCTGGGTGGCTCAGTTGGTTAAGCGACTGCCTGCGGCTCAGGTCATGATCCTGGAGTCCCTGGATCGAGTCCCGCATCGGGCTCCCTGCTCGGCGGGGAGTCTGCTTCTCCCTCCGACCCTCCCCCCTCTCATGTGCTCTCTCTCATTCTCTCTCTCTCAAATAAATAAATAAAATCTTAAAAAAAAAAAATTCCTGTCCAGGCCACATGCCAGACAAATGACATTAGTATCTTGGGAGTGAGTGTTGTCTTGTTACACTCCCCAAGTGATTCTGGGGAGAGACCAAGGTTGGGAGTCACTGCATAGAATATAAATCCATCAGAAGTGCTGAGAAAAATGTGGCTTTGTTTTTCATTTATTCGGTATGTCCCTGAATCTTAAAGCCATTCATAAATGTTGACATTTTGTTTGTTGGTTTGGAGGCAGTTTACTTAACAATTTTATTGAGGTGTACTTTATAGATAAAACTCACTCATTTCAAGTGTACAAATCCACAATTTCTAGTGACTTTAAATAGTGGTTCAGACATCACCGTAAATCAATTTTAGAACATTTTCATCCCCCCGGTAAGAACCTTCAGTTCAACTTAGTTTTTTTAAGTATACTCAATGGGGTGCTGATAAACCACTTGGACTAGGGGTGATTTCTAGAGTCTGCTTGTTTCCTTGGTATAAATACTTCTACCATGGGCAATTTCAAGCTGCGAAAGGTTTGACAACCTACCTGTAAAATTCCTGAAATTTAATAATGGACTTGAGCAAGTATTAGTTGCCCCATCAGGACATTGCTGACATACCTTTTGCAGGTGATAATATCTGAGAGAACTTGAAAATGACCAGTTGCCCCTGGCAGAATTCTGAACATAAATGAAACTTTTTCTTTGAAAATTTGTCACTGGTTAGGTACTATCTGTACCAAAGCTTCAGCTTAATTCAGTTTTTAAAAAGCACCATAAAAACAAAATGATTTCATGTAATTGATAAATAATAGGTGGCTGGTTTTAATGACTTAATTTTAAAATTATTTTAAATATATTACTTGAGTTGTTAGGTAGATTCTGATGTTTGTATTTTGGGTAGATATAAACAGATAATGTGGTGGTTAGAGAGATATCATACATCCTTGTTCTTTGGTCCCTATTTTTATTCTGGCTCGGGAATATGTAAGGTTTTGAAAATTAAAACCTGAGCTGTAGCAAATTAATCCATCACTTGCTTTTCTAGGACACACATGGCTTACTCAGAGCATCAGTTTAACCTTTTCTAAAGTACCTAAATCAAGCAACTCAGATGCATTTCTGAGTCTCATTTATAAAGCCTCAATCTAAAAACACTTATTTTCTGGGGTGCCTGGGTGGCTCAATAGGTTAAGCATCTGCCTTTGGCTGAGGTCATGATCCCAGAGTCCTGGGATCGAGCCCCACCTTGGGCTCCCTGCTCAGCAGGGAGTCTGCCTCTCTCTCCCCCTCTGTCCCTCCCCATACTCGCGCTGGCGGGAGGGGGATGCACGAGCACTCTTTCTCTCTCTCTCTTAAATAAATAAATAAAAATCTTTTTTAAAAATTAAAAAAAATAAAAACATTTATTTTCTTTAATCCTAATGTATAAACGTGTCCAAAGCAAAGGAGAACTAAAACCATCTGTGATTGTTGCTCAGCTTCACTTAAACTTTGGGGGGATGGGACTGGGGGTAGAGGTGGACTGTGGGGAAGAACGGAGGGGCAAAGGGTGTGGAGACCGGTCAGTGATAAGGAAGAGGTGGGCTGGGAACAGTCAGGCTGTTTGTTGCTTTCAAAATGAAGCAATGGGGAAATGAAACAAGTAGTGAATGCTAGACAGGTCACCTAAATAAAAAACTAGTTCTAAAACTGCTAGTTAGTTGATAATTTAAAGTTCCAGCCATTCTTTGATTATAAAAAAGGTTCCTACAAGACAATGTAATAACTAACTAACTAACTAACTAACTAACTAAGTAACTAACTAGTGAGTTGATAATTTAAAGTTCCAGCCATTCTATGATTATAATAAAAGTTCCTACAAGACAGTGTAATAACTAACTAACTAACTAAATAAATAAATAAAGTCTCTAATTTCTCTATCCTGTACATATAAGAGAAGGTTAGAATAGATCAGGGGTCAGCAAGCTTTTTTTTGTTAAATACCAGATAATAAATTTTCCAGGCTTTGCAGGCTTTATGATTTCGGCCACAAGTACTCACATCTGCCACTGACATGCAAAAACAGCCATAGATAACACAGAAATAAATGACCATGACAGTGGGTTCAGACAAAATGTTATTTGTGGACACTGAAATTTGAATTTCGTATTATTTTCATGAGTCACAAAATATTCTATTTTTTTCCCTAGCCATTTAAAAATGTAAAACCATTCTTGTTTCTTAGTCTATACAAAAACTTGTACCCTGGACGGAAATACAAAGACTTGTACCCTGGCAGGAATTGGCCCTCAGGTGGTGGTTTGCTGACTCAGGGAACAGATGATCATAAGCAAAATGAGTCCTCATTATGAGAGTCTTCAGAAGCTCCAGTCTTCAGAAGGTACTGGCATTCCAACTTCATATACAAGGAGACTCACTAGCAGAAAAATCAGGTTGCCTGAAGTCCCAGAGAATCTGTTGTGATAATTCACTATTTACTGACCACATACTATGTGTTAGCACCATGCCATTTACGCCCATTATGTCACGAAGCTTGCCCAGTACTTTCAATGTGGTACGATTACACCCATTTCATAGAGACAGAGAGTGAGTTAAGAGAAGTTCGGTGAACCGTGCAGCTCACTCATAGTGGTGCAGCTGAGGGACACGCCTACGAGCCTACCCCAAAGCTGATGCTCTTTCCACTGATCGAAGAAGCTATATGTTCTAATAATGGCGACTAGTAATTATTGGATGTCACTATGTGCCAGGCACTATTTTAAGCCCTTTGCATGTATCATTTATTAAATTCACACATCACTGTGAGATAGATACTATTAGTGAATCATCTCCATTTGTAAATGAGAAAAGTGGGCGCCTGGGTGGCTCAGTCAGTTAAGCGTCTGCCTTCGGCTCAGGTCATGATCCCAGGATCCTGGGATCGAGTCCCACATCAGGCTTCTTGACCAGCGGGGAGCCTGCTTTTCCCTCTCCCTCTGCCTGCCGCTCCCCCTGCTGTGCTCTCTTTCTCTGGGGCCCACATGCCTATCCACTAATGCAACATGCTAATTCTCATTACACTTGTCTTTTATTATATTAGCACTATTTGTTAGTCCTAGTATGAACTTAGAGACAAAAAGAAAGTTTTGTGATTACTACAACCAAGAAATGTTATTTTAAAGACATTATTCTTTCATGTTCTTCACATAATATGCATGCTCATGCACACAAAGCCAGGCCAATACCCTAATTAATCAAAACTTTATTGAATTTTTTGTAGATTCCATTTTTCAGAGCTTGACAAACAGAATAGGCTAAGAAAAGTGTAGTAAGGTCAAAGTTTTGCTTTTGTTTTGTTTGTTTGTTTGTTTGTAGAGAGAAAGAGTGAGCGGGTGGGGAGGGGCAGAGGGAGAGGGAGAGGGAGAATCCTAAGCAGGCTCCACACCCAGCACGGAGCCTGATGGGGGCTCCATCTCACAACCGTGAGATCACGAACCGAGCTGAAATCAAGAGATGGAGGCTCAAACGACTGAGCCACCCAGGTGCCCCTAAAGTCAACGTTTTAAAGGAATCTGTTTACAGAGCTATGATACCAAGTAGAGCAATAAAGCTTGTTCCTCCTCTTTGCACAACTCTGTAATCTTGGATTCTAAAAATGGAAGGTGATTCTCCTGTGGCTGTATGAGAGTATGTAACTGGTGTACAGTTCAATCTCTCCTTGACTCAAATGAATTTCCTCTTTGGTTGTTGTGTTTTCTGTTCCTCTATGGGTGATGGTGACTTCCTTCTACTTACATGTGGAAATCTGTCCACAAACGTTCTCCACGTAGAATGGGGTCACTTTGTTTCATTCATTCACTCTTCCATCCATTCACAGATCCAGCCATTGAATGATGACCAGGCAGTGTGGGGACACTGAAATGAAGAAGAAATGGCTGTCCCCTCAAAGAGTTTATGGCACAGAGGACAGAGAATGCACACACACACGTGTAGTTAGAATGCAGGGTGGAGGGGCTGATGGCCATGAGTATGTCTAGACAAAGCACACAGCATAGGGCAGCAAGGAAGGAGATCACTGGTTGTGGATGATATGGCTTTGGAACTGATAGGTATTTGTCAGTTGACGTCAGAAAAGATGACATTTGCTAAAGAGAAAATGGCATGAATAAAGGGGTCAAAGTGGCAAGACACAGGAGCATTCAGAAAATCAAAGAAACCCATATGACTCAGAGCCTCTCATCCCAGGGACCCAGTGGTTGGTTCTGGGCTCTACCTCTCAGAGATCCCACCGACAGCCTCATTGTCTGAGAAACATCCACCTGCCTTTCCTCTTCTAGTTTCTAGTGTCATAGCCATAGCCTTAGCCTTAAAAAGAAAAAAAAAGCCTGCATTAATTTCTTGTTTCTTCCAACTCCCCTAGAGGATAAATTCCTATTCTGAGCCCCCAGGCTTCTGGCTCCTTCTCCCTGATAGGGACCTGTCTAAAAGCAGCACAATCCACCTGGTGGACTCTTTAACCGTGTTGCTTCCTCACCTCCCGAGTCTCTGTAGTCATATGTTCTCCCTGACCACCTGCCCCCATTATCTGTTTTCAGACCTTTTTGTTTAAAAATATTGATAACTTCAGGGGCGCCTGGGTGGCTCAGTTGGTTAAGCATCAGACTCTTGATTTCCACTCAGGTCATGATCTCAGGGTCGTGGGATCAAGCCCCACGTCAGGCTCTGCACTCAGTGAGGAGTCTGCTTGTCCCTTTTCCTCTGCCTTCCACCCCCCTACCACCCCGCTCTCATGCTCTCAAATAAATAAATAAAATCTTCTTAAAAAATTTATAACTTTAAAAACATAAGAGCAGTAAATTAATTTGTTTTGACAGAAATATGGCTAAGTAAGAGAATGTCACTTTTTTGAGACACATGCTAAACTACCTAAAGTGTCATGATATCTATAATTAACTTTTAAAATGTTCTTGTAAAAATATATAAAGAATATATGGCAAAAGTTTGAAAATTATTCTACCTAAAATATGGGTATTTTTAAATATGCATATTACTTTTTCTATTATTTATGCTTTCTGAAGTTATTCACAGTAAACAGTTAAAAATAATAATCATATGTATTAATTATTGAAAATTTGGGAAATAAAAGCACCCAAAAAGTCAGCCATGTACAACCACGCAGAATGACATATTGTTCAACTTGTCTCCAGTCTTTTATTTTTTATTTATTTTTAAAGATTTTATTTATTTATTTGAGAGAGAGAGAGCATGAGAGAGGGGAGGATCAGAGGGAGAAGCAGACTCCCTGCTGAGCAGGGAGCCCAATGCGGGACTCGATCCTGGGACCCCAGGATCATGACCTGAGCCAAAGGTAGTTGCTTAACCAACTGAGCCACCCAGGCACCCGTCTCCAGTCTTTTAAAAATATTTTTCTGTAAACACACACACACACACTCAGATTGAATTGTGGCCATACCATTTATATAATTTTTCTCTTGCTTTCTGGTAGGATATTTTTCCATCATCTACTTTTTAGTCTGTGTCAAAGCATGTTCTGGGTCTGTGTTTTCCCCAGGTCAGCCTGTTTCCCTATATTAAAGTTTAGATATTTAGGTTGGTCCAAATTCCAGAAGGCTTTACATAGATTAAGAGTTTGGACCTTGGTCAAACTCCATTTGACAATATGGACTTATTGAATGCTTATAGGAATGTGGAATTACATGGTCATCATGTTTTGTTTTTAGATTAATCTGGTAGATTAATCTGGTAGTTGAGCATGATAGGTAGCAACGGGACCAGAGCCAAAAAAGCTAATTAGTCAGGGACTTTACAGATTGGAGAATAAGGAACTAGAGTGATGACCTGGGAGTAGCAAGAAAGGAACAGAGGTGGAAACCAGTCATTCCACTTTGCGAAGCACAGTTAGCGATTCACATCCAAATAAGAAGGAGTTCTGCTTTTGTATGGTTTTTCAAAATAACGGTCAAAGGAATTTTGGAGACCTTAATGTCACAAGGGTCTTTTAATTCATCCTTTGTTTACTTTACCACTATACATTTCTAGAGTTGTCCAGGGTTCATCGTTTTGCTTGTAGGGTTCTGACTCACCACCAGTAGAGTCTATGTTTTGGGTTTGATTCTCCAGATAATAGAACCATTTTGCAAATGTCAACCCTAAAGCACGAAGAGGTTTGTCCACTTGCTCTAAGTTGAGCATAGTAAACTCCTTTTCATGGCAAGCTCCTTAGGGGCAAGAATGTAGCTTCTTCATCTTTGTCTGCTCTACCCCAGCCCATCACTTGGCAAAGAGCAGCTGTCTGAAGGTTTGAATTGCCCCAAGTTGAGTCAAAGGCAAGACCAGAATTTAAGGTTCTTGACTTCAGCCCTTTACCACACCAACCCTGATGACATATTTGCATTTATTACCCTCAGACTCACTCTGTCCCCTTATGCCCAAAAGTTTTTACTGGTGGGATAAATCAACACTGGTGAGAGGCCTCATCTGAACCATGCAACCCAGAGGAGATAACTAATAAAAGGATCTGTTTGTATTTTTTTCATCCTCCAAAGTTTGGGGCTCTTTCCCCTAGCTGCAGCTTGCTGAAAGTGGCCCTCTCTGCCTCCTGTAGCAGCCTGAAATGGTAGCTGGCCAGCAGCGACTACAGCCCAAGGAAAATGACCTGGGAGCAGCATTTTATGCAGTATAGATGACAAGAGTAATGAGAACAAGTGCAGAGTCAAGCTTGATTCCACTCGGGGATAAGCCCTCCTGAGAAAATCTCTGGTGTGGGTCTCTGCCCAGCCATTCCAGGCCCCTGCAAGTTCTTATCCATGAAATAGTTTCACCAGTCTGTCTCTGAGCTTTGGCTCCTGGTCCAAATCCAACAGTCACTGAGCCCCAACCCCTGGGGGACCAATAATGCTCTTGTAGTCTTGAGACCATTCCTGCCCCATGGTGGCTGACCTGGGGACCGGACTGAAGGACCTGTGCTGGAATGATATGCAAGTTGCCCCCCTTCCCCCCACCCCAGTCCATGGCATGGCCCCTCTGGTCTCTGCAAGTCCTTGTCTGCATGTCCTGGTGTGTCGACCCACCTACGAGTCAGGCTCTGCAGGTCTCTATGTGTCTGTGTCCTTCTCTCTTTGGTTTCTCTGCCTCAGTCCTCTCTATACCCTGGGTCCCTCGGTTTCGTGTGCCCTAAGCCACTGCCCTGTGTGCTTCTACTATCTGGGTGAGCCACTGTGCCTTTCTAACTGGCTCTGAGTTTTGCAGCTCTGTCTTCTGTCTCTCTGTCCACAGCTCTTCCTTTTTGTGTCTCTGACTCTTTGTGCCCATGTATGTCTCTGAAGATCTGAGTCTCTGCCTCTGTCTCTGTGTGTCTTCCGTCTCTCAGAATTGCTTGCCTCGTTCCTCGGGCTCCTTCAAGAACAGGTTTGCCCTGATCTCTGACTCCCACAGAATTCTCTGCGGTTCCTTTCCACCCTGTTTTCCTTTAGCTGAGCCTTGACTCCCACCCAAAAAAAAAAAAACCTTGGGGCCCACCCTCAGTTCCTCGTTTGACCAGCTAGCCAGAACCCTGCCTCTGTCATCACTCAGGTATGTTTCCTAATGCCTGGGGCAGCTGGCCTCACCATTTAGCTCTGTTGTTACCACATGTAAATGTGGGCATTCAGAATGGCAATATGAAAAGCCACAGACCAGCGGGTTCCATGACAGAAACCTCCTTATTGGAAGGACTGTGATGAGCTGATCTTCTGCCTAACCTCAGCAACACACTTAACGCCTTTCTTAGGCCTCATTTGAATGTTCAAAAACTTTGCAAGACCTGTTTGGTTCTCCCCGCTTGGACAGGGTCCATTGCTATGATCAATGCAAAAATAAGCTCACATCTGTGAATAGGGGACTTCATGTATTTATGTGGACAACACTGTCTTAGCCTAGATATTGTCATGACTTTAGTATAATATAAATTGCAGCACTGATACCTCTTGAGCTGACAAGGTTTTTCCTTATCCTAAACCCATGATTTCTGATGGCATAGAGGGCCAAGAGCTTTATTTTTCACAAAAAGTCATTTAGCACCAACCATATGACCAAATGAATGTGAAGGAAATCAGCAGCCAAGCAAGCCTGCAGAACGAATCAAGTGCTAAGGACAGATTAACCCAAGTGAAGATGGCTTGGAGTAAGCCTGCCCTGTCATTTCATCTTATGTTCTGTCACCATTGTGTTCAGAAGGATTCTGAGGCCAAGTATATAGCCTTGGCAAGAAAGAACACAGATCAATTAGTGATATTATCCGTGGCCTTTAAAAAGGGGAGTGGCGTCATCTGTTAGCATTTGCTGTCTTTGGTCCAGAGGGTAGAGAGAGTGTGTCCTTGTCATTCAGAAGTGAGAATAATTTTGAAAATGAAGAAAAAAGAGAAAATTCTCTAAAGAGGGTTTTTATTGGCTGTTCAACTCCAAGGACTTTTAGCTACTGTCACACAATCAGGAGTCTCTGTTCTTGCTTTAGATTGAAATCTTTGTTTTCTTTATAACCCTGATGGGACCGAATGTAGGTTCTGTGTCACTTCTTTTTGCCAGGAAGGGGAAGAGTAAGTCATTAAATATATGCATAATCTGTAGATGTAGGTTACTACGAAATTTTTCACCAAGAAATATATAGTCTAAATGGATGCGTGGCTCATGTTTTAACGTGCAAGATCACTTCCTGTGTCCACTTGTTCTTCCAGTGTTATTTTGCGTTACTCCTCAGTTTAAAGCCTCTGTTTCAACTAAGCATTCTGTTCCCTATATAAGCCATGCATGTGTTAACCACAGTGCCTTTGCTTATGCCGTTTCTCCCATTGAAATGACCTTTTCTCTCACTACTTAATGAAACCTATATTTATTCTTGAAGCTCCAATTCATGATCTTCCTCCTCCATGCTTTCCCTGACATGCCAGCCCCCTGGAAGCTCCCCGTCCTATACCATTTACTGTCCATATTACTAACATTGGAGCTATTGGGGAAATTTCTGACCATGTTAGCCTGCAAATCCTTCTCTTTTCCTCCTCATTGGTACTTTAAAGCCACTTAGTTCTTTCTTTGTCCTCTGTGTACTCTTCTTTAGATGAGACACACTGTGAATTCAAACCATCAAAGTTACTGAAACAAATTAAAGTTTTTAGGTCCAACAGTCCTTGACCTCTGTGCTTCTGAAACTCTAAACTGCATTAGCAATCGTATGGGACTCTTAATAAATACAAATTACAGTTCAACAGGTTTAGGGGGCCTGAGAATGTACATTTCTAACAAGATTGCCAGGCACTGAGTTGCATTGTTTTTCAAACATCAGGTGCATTTCATTAGTGTCCATAAAGTCATTTTAGAGAGTCACAATCAATGTTTGTCAAAAATAAGTGGAGAAAAGAAAATAGTAAATAGTAAGTATCACGTGGAAGAGTAGTGTTGTTATTTCCTATAATACTCTGGGGTGTGTGTATGTGTGTGTGTGTGTGTGTGTATGCCTATAATGTGTGTGTGTGTGTTTGTGTAGAGAGAGAGAGAAAAATGCATTTTATACTGTGAGCTGATTGAAAAAGTTTGAAAGCCTCTCCTTTAAAGGATAGAGCAAAATGAAATATCAGTTTAGATCAGTGGATTAAGTTAAGACAATAAAACCCAATGGGATAAAAACTTGAAGACTCCAATATGCCGGAGCAATTTCCCAGAAGGTTCTAGCACAAAGGGGCACTGCACTGGAATGGGAGAAGGGGCTGACTTGAGGACCAGCCTGCTGGATCTAGCTGGTCTGCCTTTCTCTGTGGTTGAGCTGGCTTCCTGTACCTAACTGAGAGGCAACGATGAAAATTCTTTAGTGTGTGGGTGTTTCCTAATTTGTTACTATATAATGGAAGGGATAATACCACTGTTTCCTTCAAGGTCAACTGCTGGTTTTGGTAATCTCATAAACCCAGTGCAAATATTCTTTTGAAGCTTGATGAGTCTTTGCTCTGTTACTTCCATTAGCCTTGAGACATATTTATAGCAATGTGTGGGCCTTAGGGAAAAAGAAGAATATAACATTGCTTGAATGTATGTTATAAATAATAGTTTCTTGCTCTTTTTCACTTCTTCAGAAACTTTGAGACCAAAAGAATTTTTTTTTTTTAAAGATTTTATTTATTTTTTTTAGAGAGCGAGCGAGAGAGAAACAGCATGAGAGGGGAGAGGGTCAGAGGGAGAAGCAGGCTCCCTGCTGAGCCGGGAGCCCGATGTGGGACTCGATCCCAGGACCTTGGGATCATGACCTGAGCCGAAGGCAGATGCTTAACCATCTGAGCCACCCAGGCGCCCAAGAATTTTTTTTTTTAATTTTTTGTTTCAGGAAGGTGAACCTTATTCCAAACTATTCCCATACCTAGCACAATGCCTAGCATATCTTATCTAGCATAAGATATAAGATTTGCTATTTATAATATGTTTTATATTTAGCAAATCTTGTATCTTGTTCTCTCCTGCAAAAGTTAAAGAATCATAAAAATAGTTTGTAAAAGGGCGCCTGGGTGGCTCAGTCAGTTAAGTGTCTGCCTTCAGCTGGGGTCATGATCCTGAGATCCTGGGATCAAGCCCTGGAGGAGGTTCCCTGCTAAGCAGGGAGTCTGCTTCTCCCTCTCCTTCTGCCCCTCCCCCTGCTTGTGCTCTGTCTCTGTCTCTCTCAAATGAATAAATAAAATCTAAAAAAAAAAAGTTTGTAAGACAGTGTTCCAATACATGAAAACAACAGGGTTTTCTTACCATAGCATTGTTATTAGTCACCTTGACTACTGAGAAAACTAAAGTTGCTATTTGTGTGTGGTCACATAGCTAACAAGTAGGAAGTTGGAGCAAACAGATGAGCTAAGGAAATGACCAGAGACAAAGGCATGGTCTCTCCTCAACAGAACTCTCACTGACGCTCCATGCTACATAGACGTTTGTGATATAAGTTCGCTGCTTATTCGCATTTCTTTTCAGTTGGCATTTCCCTGTTGTAAAAAGGCTTCTTACTGCACTTAATTCTAAAAGCATCAGCCTCCTGGGGCACCTGGGTGGCTCAGTCAGTTAAGCATCTGCCTTCAGCTCAGGTCATGATCTCAGGGTCCTGCGATCGAGCCCTGCATCAGGCTCTCTGCTCTGCGGAGAGCCTGTTTCTCCCTCTCCCCCTGCCCTTCTCTCTCTCTCTCTGTCAAATAAATAAAATCTTTATAAATAAATAAATAAATAAATAAATAAATAAATAAATAAATAAATAAAAGCATCCGCCTCCTAATGCAGGGGAAGACGTGACAGGACAGCAGAGGAAAATGACTGACTTGGGGGTTTTAATCAACAAACAGTAGGTGCAGTGTGAATTCCCAGCATGATGCAATTGTCAAGAAACTAATGCAATCTTGGGTTGCTTTACTGCAAACCTAGCAGCTAGAATAAGGGGGATCCTTTGAGGCTTAGTTTTCCACATCAGCTCTTACCTTTAAGAGAGGTTTTAAAAATTTGGAGGGTATTCAGAGAAGATAAAGTCTCTTGGTGTTAAAGGGACTGAAAGCCTGTCATAAAAAGAGAAGTTGAAGTTGATGGAAAGAGAAAAAATACAATCTAAATGCTTTAACTGTTTGTTTAAATATCATGTATAGAACACCAAGAAGTAGCTTTGGGACCATCTGTGGAAAGCTAGACAGCAAGAAACAGCAATTCAACGTAGGCAAGAGTTTTCTGGCCATCATGAACCATGGCAGTATAGAAAGAGTTTGCCTATAAAGTAGTAAGGTGCCATCATCATCAATATGTAGCAAAGATTGGATATGAGTCTTATTAGGGTTGAGGCTTTATTCACCCACTGCACAAAAGAATTTTTTTTTTTTTTAAAGATTTTATTTATTTATTTGACAGGGAGAGACACAGCGAGAGAGGGAACACAGGCAGGGGGAGTGAAAGACGGAGAAGCAGGCTTCCCGCTGAGCAGGGAGCCCGATGCGGGGCTCAATCCCAGGACCCTGAGATCATGACCTGAGCTGAAGGCAGACGCTTAACGACTGAGCCACCCAGGCGCCCCTGCACAAAAGAATTTTTAAAAAGAATTATAAACTAACCTGATGGGGGGGGTGATTATACGTGGATTTTATTTACTAAGCTAAACATTTTTGTAAAGATCTATTTATTTATTTGAGAGAGAGAGAGAGAGAGAATGCATGTGTATGCGGGAGTGGGAGGAGGAGGCAGAGGGAGAGAGAGAGAAAGAGAATCTTAAGCAGACTCCCCGCTGAGCACATAGCCCAATGTGGGGCTCAATGTCATGACCCTGAGATCATGACCTGAGCTGAAAACAAGAGGCGGGCGTTTAACCGACCGAGCTACCCAGGCACCCTTAAGCTAAACATTTTTAATTGTTTAATTTTTTAGAGCTTAGAAGCATATATGATTTTTATAGTCAACAGAAATAAGTTTACTGTGAAGCCAATGAGGCCTCAGCTTCAGGGCCCCTCCCTGGTACAGACCCTAGCCATATAGTTAATAAATGTCATCCATTCAAAAAGTATTTAAGATTACTTCCTATGCATGAAACTGTAAAATACCCTGGAATCTTAGAGCTCATATTTGAGAGAAATTTGATAGAGGTCCCAGAATTTGCCAACAATTTAAAAAACTTCATTACCAATAAGCCTATGCTGTCAATAATTTTTAAAAATAGTCTAGATGAAAGACTGAATTATTGTTCTAGTCTCTCTCTAGAAAACTATATTATAAAATTTTTGTCATATGAAGAAATAATCAAAGATAATCGAACCAAAAATACAGAGGAAAAAATATAAGAGTATGTGAGACAGTTAATGAAAATAAGTTATTTTTCTGGGTTTTGTGATGTTTGTGATATTTGTCCCACAATGTGTAATTTTTTTTTGTGATTTCTCATTCTAAATAATTAATTTTTTGTAATTTTATATCAATTTTCTTAAAGAGAATTCCAAATTTTACAAGCTCCAAGCTCTCTAAAATCATGACTCTTCCCCCCAATAATCGGAGTAATAAAAAAAATTGTTTTAAACAGTTCCAAAGATAGGAACTTAGTTGGAACATAGTTCCATGCAGTCAGGACTCTATGTAATGAGCAGTCAGATGTGCATATTAAGCCATAAAAATCCCCGTAGCCGTCAGCCAAGGACCTGTCAATATCCAGCGCCCTTTGTTACACGGCCAACCTTGCAGCTTCATCTCACCATGGCTGCCTGCGGGCGCTCACCCCGAGTTACTCACACCACCAAGCAGCACTCTGATGCTAGACACACTTAACCATTCTCTCGTTCCAAGGCCTGCACTCCTGTTATTCCCGCCCCTGAACAACTGTCACTCCAAATGTCACCATGCTTTAAATGGAGAAGTTTCTCTCTCTCTCTGTCCCCTTCTTCCTCCCTCCCACCCCCCGCAAGTGCTAGGTCAGTTCCGATGTTCAACAAACACTAGTGGAATGAATGAAAGGATAAGACAAATCATTAACAGGGCTATCTCTGGAGGTTGGATTAAAGAAGAAATTAACTGTTTTCTTTTTTTTCAAATTTTAGTTTCCCAGTTGATAGATGAATCTATTTTATTAGTGTTTTTTATATTAGATCAAACCAAATTAGGAAAATCTGATGGAGCTAAAGTCTCCCTTAACAACACCCTTCATCTTGGTTCCTTCCAGGATTTGAGTTTGGTGTGTATTTTTTTCAGACTTCTATTTTATGCTTTTACATATCTTTATATGTAAATGTGTATGTGTTGTATTATTTGCGCGGAGGGGAAAGATTTTTTAAAAAGAAGTGGTGTCATACCTGCCACTAGTTCTTGTAACTTGATAACATGTTTGGGATCTGTCAACCTTGATGTGTGCCCGTACACGAACATCTTCAGTGGGGGTGCACCTGGCTTCTGAGCAGGACAGTTTCAGGTGGTCAGGACTGCACTGTTCTTTGTTGGAAGTTAAGCATTCCGGACACCCTCCCACCCTCCCCACCCCTCCCCCCGCCACCGTTCCCCTCCCCCCCCACCGTCCCCCTCCCCCTCCCCGCGCCACCGTCCCCCTCCCCCCTACCCCCGCCACCGTTCCCCTCCCCACCCCACCCCCACCGTCCCCCTCCCCCTCCCCCCGCCACCGTTCCCCTCCCCCTCCCCACCCCCACCGTTCCCCTCCCCACTCCCCCCCACCCCCCCCACAAATGCTGGTAGCACTTGACCCCTTGCCCTCATCACTTGCCCTCATCAACAAAATGCTCTCAATGCCTTCTCACCTTCAGTTGACTTCTTGCATAATCTTTTTCTTGGGCTCTCAGCTTCGTTGCTGGTAGATCTTCAGGTTGGCTCCAAGTATCTACTCTCACCAACAGCTCGGCAGTAACCACCTTGGTTCCTGTTTCCGTCAGCTTACTCTTGAGTGTCTCACCAGGCAGACTCTAGAACAGGAATAGCTGGCCACATGCACGTGTTCAGCCCACATGTGCTGGATTCCCCTCCAGTCTTCTACCCTTACCAGTAGTGGATGGTAGTACCCATGGCCCTGTATTAGTCAGTACTTAATACCGTCTCATTCTTCAAGGTTAGCCACCTGGCAAGTGAAGAAAATATCACACTGTTGTCTTAATGTGCATTTCTTTGATTAGTATTGAGACTATTTGAAATTCATATGTCCTCTTTTATGAAAGACTTTCACTTTCTCTTCTGTATGTGTACATATTTTAGTTTTTACTACATATGATTTATAATCAGAAAAAATAATACACACTTTACCAAATAACTTATGTGTCCTTCAAGGCCTACTCAGATTGGCTCATTCAAACAACAGTCGATCTTTCTTCCTGCAACCATTCTCTTGGACGTAGTTTGCAAAGTACTTGTCTTACCCTCCTGACTAAATTAATGGAGACTAGACTGGGGCTTTTCTGTGTTTATTCCCTTTGACCTGCCTAGTATAATGCCTTGTGTAATGTCTGCAACAGATTTGAAGCTTAATAAATAAAGATTGGAATGATAAAAAGTAGAGAAAGTTGATTATGAGAAAACTATCAACTTTATTCTATTTTCAGCCTTTAGCTCTTTGTGGACATGGTCTTGAATGATCCTTACCGAAAGTGGATACAGTCCTATAAAGGACATGTAATGTTATTTGGATCTAGAGTCACTTCCCCGGAAGATATGTTCATCAAAATTTCTAGGAAAGGAATACTTAGCTCAACCGAAAGAGGAAGGTCAGATGTTTGTGGAAGAGAACTTTGGGGAATGAGGATCCCATTGCCCCAGAGACATCATGAAATGTAAGAGGCTGCCTGGCAGTCTCTGTCTTAGATTGGCCCAGGCCCAGGACTCCACAAAACCCAAGGGCATGGCAGTAGTGACTCGACCAAGCTGCCATCCAGAAATTAACCTGTGCTGAGATGTTCCACATTCGAGCACAGTGTGATTCTCCCTGCTTTATGCTCAAGTATTTCTTGTGTGTTTATGATACATAGTTATTACTTAAAAGATGACCATAAAAAAATTCTTAGTAAAAACTGCCATCAAGTTGTAATTATCAGAAGAATTCTGTACATGTTTTCAGCACAGACTTCAGGTCTCACTGAAAAGAATCCAAAAGAATGTCCAAACTCTTTATGTTTTAGAATTTCATTAATCAAGTTTTATCACTTCAGTTAAGTGATTTATTGGCTCAAACTGAATCTTATGCCAAAGTGTTCATCTAAAAATTAATTATTGGCATAATGTATTTAAGGACTTGTGACCTTGTGGAGATGTCACCTATCAAAAAGAATTAGAATTTTGGCTGTAACCGAACCTGAAGTTTTTTGTAGCTTCACTTTTTTTTTTAAAGATTTTATTTATTTGACAGACAGACAGCGAGAGAGGGAACACAAGCAGGGGGAGTGGGAGAGGGAGAAGAAGACTTCCCGCCGAGCAGGGAGCCCGACTCGGGGCTGGATCCCAGGACCCTGAGGTCATGACCTGAGCCAAAGGCAGATGCTTAACGACTGAGCCACCCAGGCGCCCCTGTAGCTTCATTTTTAATTCCTCCAACTGTCCTTTTTTTTATTGGGCATAACTGACATACAACATTGTATTAGTTTCAGGTTCCAATTGTCCTTTGAAAGCATTTTGTAATGAGAAGATTTGAACTTGTCTGAATCAGTTCAATGAAGGGGGCTGCTTTGCACGTAAACAACTTAGTCGGTGTTCTTATAAAAATGTTTCTCCTTGCCATTGCTTCCAGACAGCAAATACATTTCTAATACAGGATGGGAGTTGCTGTGCCTCAAAGAGGAAATATGCTAAAGAAACACGTATTGGGAAATGCAGATTTAGAAAACAGATAGCTTGGAGACCTATGTAGAAACTTCCTTCCACAGATGGTCTTACATGTACTGTTTATTATCAGGCTAAAGATTCATGCCACAGGGATGTCCCAGTAGACACCAGGGTGGTTCATGACAGCAGGAACCCTCACCCTCAGAGTAGGGCTCTTCCTTGAAGTTCTTTTTTTTTTTTTTTTAAGATTTTATTTATTTATTTGAGAGAGAGAGAGAGAGCGAGTGAGCACAAGTGGGGCGGTGCGGAGGGAGAGGGAGAAGCGAGCTCCTGATTCAGGGCTCGATCCCAGGACTCTGGGATCATGACGTGAGCCGAAGGCAGACGCTTAACAACTGAGCCACCCAGGTGCCCCTCTTCCTTGAAGTTCTCATACACTATCCATACCTCTTCATTGGCTCTTTGATCACTGGCATAGTGTAGTTGCCTGTGTCCCCTTCTCGCTGCCCTGAGCAGCAGTAACTGTCCCCAGGACCTAGCTTCCTGTTATCCCAAATAAATTCAAGGTAATAAAAAATTATATTTGAGCCACAAGAAAATCACACCACTGAGGGTGTATCACAAGTTATGGCTTTGTGGGTCTCAGTGGTTTTATGTAACAACTACCATGTCCTGAGTTCTGCTGTTTGCCAGGCCTGTTTTGGCCATTTCATGTGTGTTAATGTGTGCAGTACTTACAACTGGCCTATGGGATATGGCTAGTGTGAATCCTGTTTTGGAAGTAAGAAAGCTGAGGCTCTGACTGGTTATGTACCTTGCCCAAGGTTGTGCAGCTGGTAGAGGGGTCTATCACCTGGATAGGACTCAGGCAAGCCAACTCCAGGGGCCGCAATCCCAACCCACCACACTGGACCACCTCTGGCGAGTCCTTAAAAAGACGTGTAAGATCTGTAATTAGGGGAAAGGAGCTAGGTGCAGATCAGTGTGCCTAGAATGCTCTTATTTCCACAGAATTAGGAGGTGGGGGGATGTACTAGAATGCCTTTAGATGCATAGATGTCTCTGAGGAGGAAAGACAGGAAAATGGTTGACTTTGGTATCCTCTGGGGACTGGGGATTCAGGGTGAGAACAAGGCTTTATTTTTACTGAGTCTTCTTTTTGACCTACTCGGGTTTTTTTTTTCTTCCTACCCTGGATCGGTGTTACCTTTTCTGAAACAAACTTTTTTCTAAACACATAGATCAATTTGAATCTCCTTGGGACTTGTCTGGCTCCTCAGATATTTGTCAGTTTGAAACACTATCTGATGGGGTTTACATGTCAGTATCAAACATCTGAATTCCTTGTGTTCAACTTCATCTCACTCATGACCGTGGACTCCAGTGTAGTAGCTCAGTGCTTTGCCAACACTGCAAAGGTGGTTCTGCCCGTGCAAAAGAGGGCATGAGCGAGAGAGCAAACGGAAGAGAGAAAACTGGCCAAACCTTATTCTTACGGTTACTTTTGACTTGGACTTTGAAAAAAAGATTGTTGACACAGTAACCTTGTATGTCTGTTCGCTAGGGCTGCCGTGACAAAGTGCCACAAAATGGGCAGTTTCAACAGCAGGAAGGTATTGTCTCAAAGTTCTGGAGGACAGGAGCCAGAAATCCAGGTGTCCGTTCCTTCCAAGGGTTGTAATGGAGGGATCTGTTCCAGCCCTTTCTTCTTGACTTGTAGGTGGCCATCTTCGCGTTCCCAGGGCATTTTCCCTGTTGGCAAGTCTGTCTGCAAATACGCCCCTTTTATAAGAAGACTGGGCTAGGGCCCACCCTAAATGATCTCATTATAACCTGCTAAAGGCAACCCTATCTCCAAATAAGGTCTCATGCTGAGGTACTGGGAAAATTCAACGTGCGGATTTTCAGGACACAATTCAACCCATAACCCTCCTATTCGCCAGTTCTCTCTACTCTCCCCTCAGCCTGGCCCAGAGAGTTCCTTGTCCTGATGTTTGGGCTGAGAGTTTGGTCTGTGGGCTACCTATGGTGGAGAATATTGCTGAGGTCATCTTGGAGAGGAAAACCAAGTGAAGGAAGAGTCACCTGCGGGGAGTCCCGAGTGAAAGTGTGGTTCTCTCCTTCCTAGGTGGTATCACGGCAACCTCACACGCCACGCGGCCGAGGCTCTTCTCCTCTCAAACGGATGTGACGGAAGCTACCTTCTGAGGGACAGCAATGAAAGGACCGGGCTGTATTCTCTCTCTGTGAGGTAGGTTGCTTACGAACTCTATGAATTCAGTGTCGTCCCATCTCTTCCTTACACGGCCGTTGACTTTATCATCACACTCACATTGCCAGATAACAACATTCTTACATTGCCAGAAAAAGATTCTCTTGACTCCTGGTAGACCTGCAGCTCTAAGGATTCCAAGCTCCGAATGGCAGACGGTAAGAAACATTCTTCCTCCTTCCCTCAGCAGGGAAGAAAATGTGAGAGGTGAAGGACACTTTATGAATTGTTTAATGCCTCGCTTGCCTGTTGGAGAAACTGAAACCCAAAGTGCTAAAGTGTCTTTGTACCCCATAAATCAGCGGTAGAAACAGCGCCGGAATCCAAATCCCTGAAACCTGGCCCAGTGCCCTTTTAATATTCCTTGCTTCCCCTGGAAAATCAGAATGATTTGTGACTGGGCAGCGTTCATAATCGCAAACTCAAGCAGGCAGTAAGGCAAATTTTAAGGTTTTTTTCCCTATAAATGGCCCGACCTTTCTCCAAGCTCCACTTCCTCTGAAGGCTAATGAAATTAATCCAGTCCCTGTGCAGCCCAAACCTGTGATGGCCCAGTCCTTCCGGGATCTCTCTCCTCCCCTGCTTCCTCCTGGCTGGCCTCCTGATCAGGAAAGATGACCTCGCCAGGTGATAACCCGGGGGAGGCGTTGGTTCTCGGTCAGCATCTGTCACCTTGGCTTCTGCGGGCATGTGGCGAGTCTTTCTGGGTTTATGGGACGTTGCCCTCTGCTTAGACTAGGGATGTGAGGACCCCGTCACTAACTCAGTAGCAACATCTACACTCCTTTCTCTGTGCATCCTCTTTTCATCCAGTTTAGAGACCGTTTTGGTTCTGCTTTGTTTTTTTAAGCCTCCTCTCACTCCGAGAGGGGTTAAAACTGGCTTCAAAATATTTCCCTACATCATTGATGGCAGGTGTCTATGAGCTCAAAACCCAAGAATTAATTTTTTTTATCTTCTCTTTGTGCTTCTGGACTTCCATATTTTCTATGCCACTTAACAAATTACCCCAAACGTTGTGGCTTTAACAACTACATTGATTATCTCACAGTTTCTGTTTGTCAGAAGCCCAGGCGGGCTCTCCAGTTTCTCTGCTCAGGCTCCTACCAGGCTGAAACTAAGGTGCTGGCTGAGGCTGTGGTTCAGCTGGGACTCTGCGTCCTCTTCCTTCATTCTCTTCTTTTTTGCTTCATTCCTTTTCATTCATTTCCTTGCTGCTGTAGGACTGAGCTCCCCATTTTCCATCTAGCTATTGGCCAGGGACCAGGGTCAGCTTCTGGAATCCACCCACAGCCCCCTGCCAAGTAGCTTCCACAGGCAGTTCACAGCATAGATGTTAGCTTCCTTCTAGACCAGCAAGAGCGTGTCTCTCTCATCTCCTCTCCTGTGACCAGCCAGAAAGAACTCTTTGCTTTTACCAAGACTCTCATGTGATTAAGTCGGGCCCACCCGGACAATCTCCCTATTGTCCGGTCAGCTAATGTGGAGCCTGAATTATCTGCAAGATCCCTTCACAGCAGCATCTACACTAGCATTTTATTGAATAAATGGGAAAAGGTGGATGTAGTCCAGGGACTGAGAATCGGGGTCATGATAGATGGCTGCCTGCCACACCTTCACTCCTGGGAGCAGAAGTGTAGAGGCCGACTCTTAAGGGCAGTGGGAGAAATCAGTGGGAGGGTGATGGGGTAAATAAGAGGGTCGTTGAGAAAACACACATATGCAGGAGCACACATTCATTAACATTTTTCATGTTACTCTGCTACATTTTGCTTAAGATTTTTCTAAATAACATTTAGGGAAAAGTATTAATCAGACATGAAATTCTGCTTGGGTGGAAGCAGGGATGGTGCTTTCTCTGATGGATAGCAAAGGTGAAAATCTCATCAGGTGATTAGGCTGCAAATCCTTTAATGCATAGATCTCCCCAAAATCACAAACAAACCTGTGGAAGTATTGGATCAAAGAATGTTAACTTTTCACCTGTAGATGTCTCATCTGAACAATTAGATCAGAAGCTTCTTACAATTAGGTGGCATATATATATCACATATGTGCAAAAATGCAAAATATAACTCACTAATTTCCAAGACAAGCACTTGGAAATGCTGTTAGAAGAAAAAAAATAAATATCCACCAACAGAGGTGACAGGAACCACAGCCTGGATCAAAAGAATGGCTGACTTTACTCATTCATTGGTTCACTTCCTTAACACTAAGTATTAGAGAGCCTCCGGTCTATGCCGACTAAGTTGATGAGTGTTGTAGAAGATCCAGACTTTGCTCTGAGGAAGTATCGCCCAGGGGCCGTGGGACACTGCACAGGAAGCTCTCTACAAGGTAGAGTGCAGTAACCCATGGGAAAGAAAGCAAGATCAGTGCTTGGATGGCTGAGGAGAGCGAAGCAGGTAACTCAGGATGGAAGTATCATTCAGTGATTGTCAGAGTAGGTGGTATTTGAACTGACGCCTGATCAGAAACAAAAGGGATGATGTTGCAGGTGAAGGGAACTGTAAGAGCTGAGGGACAACGGTAGAAACTTCTAGAACTGTAGGTCCACTTGGATTAGAGCAGCAGTTCTCAGGGTCCCCAGGCCACCTGAGACCGTGTTAAGGGTGCAAATTCCAGGGCCCCATACTTTGGAAGTACTGAACCAGGAATTCAGGGAGTAGGGTCTAGAAATCTGGGTGTTAACAAGCCCTCCAGGTGATTCTGATTTCTGACGTGTGCTAAAGTTGGAGCAGGCCATTCGTAGAGAAGAGAGGAATAGTGGGAGTCAAATAATATATATCTATGTATGTATATGTATATAAATAATATATATAATTTATATATAACTATATATACTTATAATTTATAATTTATTTAATGCTCTGCTTCATTCCAAAAGTGAGGTGGAAAATGACATTGTAGGAAATTGAGTATTTTATTCAGTAGGCAGTGGAACCAGCATGGCAAGAAAAGGGTGGGGCTCACACAACTAATTAAGTGACAGAAGCAGAATTCAGACTGGCTCCCAAACAAGTAAGATTGAGAGAGAGAAGAGCCAAAAAGAAGCCGGGGAGATTTCTATCATCCCTATTCTCTGCCGGTCTTAAACATGTGCCCTTGAAGGGGGTACCATTCAAGGACCCTCTTGGTAAGTCAGACAGTGCACAGGGAGAATTGTCTCTTGTCTTCCATTACAGTGAAAAATTGAGAAGAGCTCTGCCAAAAAAAAAACCACCAAAAAACTAGTGCTTTAAAAATGCCAGTGGTTTCAATAATTGTGTTGTAATTCTCAGTTTTTAGAAGGGCTTAACCCTTCTAAAATGCTAGTACCTAAGGTTATATTTCCCTTCTTCAAAAAAAGATATTCATTTGTTAAATAACCTTAAGCATTTCTTTTTCCCTTTCAGAGCCAAAGACTCTGTCAAACACTTTCATGTTGAATATACCGGATATTCATTTAAATTTGGCTTTAATGAATTCTCATCTTTAAAGGATTTTGTCAAGCATTTTGCAAATCAGCCTTTGATTGGAAGTGAGACAGGTAAGCAATGAACAGATAGATACTTAACCTAGGAGACATTGTTTCAGGATGGAGGAGGGACAGGGAGGATTTCATTAAGTAGCTGTCACTTCTGTTGAATTATGTGCTTATGATACATAATGATATATGTTTAGAAACAATTTTTTTCCAATTATCGTGCCATATGCTACATTAATAAATTATATATATAGATATATGCATCTATCTATCTATATATATATATCAGTATTATCATTAGGAGAAAACAATATGCTTTGTACAAAGTAGATAGTTTTCTTAGAATGTGTTATTTAATGGACTGGTTTAAAGTACCAATTTTTTAAAAATAGTCTATTCATTTTATAACAATAATCAACAAAGAAAGAAGAAAGGTTAGAACAACTTTTTGATTCCTCATAATTTTAGGTATGGGCAGTTTGCATATTGGGGAAACCCATTACATAATTTTGAGCATTTTAAAAATAAAATTCTTACTTAAATTTCCACAAAGACCACTGAATATTGCAAATATTGACTAGAAATTGCTCTCTTGAGCGAGGCCTTTATTTTACCATAAGATTCTGTTTCTATCGTCATGGTTTTTGTAAGTTTTTACACTGGACTTGAAGACGGATGGAAAATTTTGAATTTTCCTGTTTGAGTGGTTAAAGTCAAACTAGAATATTCTAGTTCAAAAAAAAAAAACCCCAAAACACGCTAGCTTGGTATTTGAATTATCTAACTTGATTTTCTGTACCAGTTCAATAAAGTAAGCAGATCAGCCCTATATTTGTGATACAGAATTACAATTTTATGTGACCTAAGTGATGATAACTCTCAGTTAATCAAAAGTTGGGCAATTCCAGAACTTGTGGCAGAAGAGGAACTCAGGACTTAGCAGCACCACTGTTTTACCGTGAATTTGTACATGTTTTCTTGGGAAACATTGCCAGTGGGCTCTTCGTTAACTTCATTGTGGGGAGAGATGCCATCACTGGTTTTTCCTTCTCTGCTGTTTCTGTGGCCTGGATAGACCCTGATTCATATCAAGTGTAGATGAAAAGCACAGTGGAAACCACAAAATAGTTGCCTTGCTTTATACTGACCACACAAGGCGTATAATAGAAGATTGCAGACTATGAAATTGAAGTTCTAATTTTTTTTTTTTTCTGTTGGAACTTCTTCCAGTCGGCCCTGAAAATTACTTCACCATTTAACCAGCAGTGGTTCTCGTAAACACATGGCAGGTGGGAATGTATTATTTAATTTCCATCGCTCCTTTGGCATTGGCAAGCTTTTCAATTTCTCAAATCCCTTCACTGCAGACTTACTTCCTACTTGTTTCCAACCCTATGCGCAATTTTATTCACTTCTCAGTCACTAGAAATTGAGAAGAGATTTTTGAAGCTAAAGACTTCGTTTTATCTGCCTCTGCTGGTGTCCTCCTCCACATCCCCCAGGTCCTGATACGGTGCATGACACTTTGGGTGAACGAGTGGATGAGTGGATAGATAACTCTGAGAGGGAACTCTGTGTAGCCTCAAGGCCATGATAAGTGTTATCTTGCAGCCTTCTTTCTTCCTCCAAGCAACGTCAGCTTCCTCCTTTTAAACTCTCCTCCTAGACTCTGTTTTTAACCCTTTGGATCATTCTCTGTGTTTCTTCCTGAAGTTTCTCCAAGTTAGGGAAAAGGTGCACACTCTATCTATGATCGACACATTTCAAAAAACTTTAAGACCAAAGTGAAGGTAGTGGTTTCTGGTTGAACTTTTCTGGCACAGGCCCAATCTCCAGGCAAGAGGATCATCTAAGACTTTGCCAAAGTCAAGGCTCCTTGACATTGAATTCAGGACAATGAAATTTCCTGTAAATACGTTCAGTTTCCCTGTAAATACATTAATCTAACTAAAGAAGGTTTACCATTAATCCATTAGGGATTGTAAAAAAAAAAAAAATGTATAATCCTGACTCTATGGTAGTTTTATCCAAAGCTAAAGTTTGCTGTATCATTAACATTAACCATAACTACTTTATGTATTGCACTAAAACTCAGGAAACTAAGATTTTTATCCTCTCTGCTGCATCTTCTCTGTTCCATCATTATCCAACAGAGAATTTGCCATTATTTGAACCCTTGTCACAGGTGCCTGATGCTTATGGGTATGTACTTGGCTTACTAACTGCCAGCCCTTGAGTTAGATTCCACTGCCCCTGAAATAGTCCTCTTTTTTTTTTTTTTTACACAAAGACAATTATCTGTCCCAGCCAGATGAAGGCAAAGCCACTGAGGCTGGGGACAAGGGGAAAAACCCATGACAAGTGAGTGTTCTAGTTTTGCCCCTCTGGGAGTAATAGGCCTTAGGAAACAAGATAAGGTGCTGAAGTCATGATGACTTGTAAGCCCAGCAGATTTTCAGAAGCCACAGTCAGCACTGTGACCTGTGAATAACAGTGAATGGAAACCAGGATGCCACCTTCTAAAAATAGGTCTCTTCTTACTCAGGTAAGTATTGGCTCCTGGTGTTGACCCCTCAGTGATCAGGAAACCTCCAGGCTGATGATTTCTTGTTCACCATCAGATGAAGTGCAAATTCCTTAAGTTTTCATTTGATTAAAGATTACCAAGGGAAGTATTTGCCTGCATGATGGATGAGGCCTGCCAGGGTTCTCACCTTCAGATCCTAGGAATGGAAAGGACTCGAACTGGGTATGTCAGCCCACTCCTTTTAGCCCAGACCCCCATCAGGCCAGCATCCCTCTGCAGTGCCTGGGGAGTGAGTTTTTTTAAGAGAGATTTCCCCACACTTATCCACTGGCCAGGATGGCCTTACCTTCTAGGGCAACGAGGTGGGGGGTGGGGGTGGGGTGGGGCGGGGAACCTCCAAATAACCAATAGCCTTTCACTTCACCTTACAGCTATACATAATATAGAGGGAAACCCAAGTTTCCCTTAGGCTCTAGGTCCTAAGAAAATCTTTGTACTCAGGAGACGTAAAAGTGTTAACCTCAAGGGAAGAATACTATTTTAAGATATCTTTTTTCCTATTCTATTCCTATTTTCTACTCTTTAAACTCTCAGGATTTCTGTTTCCTAATCAGAAGAGTGAAGATTTCCTAAGCAAGATCTAAGCCTCCTGACAGCCTCAATATTCTATTATTATAATTTCCCTTGCTATAATCTGCATTTAACCTTTCCAGTCTCCATGAAAGTTTCTGTTCCCTCTAATTTCTCTCTATTGACACCCATAAACACTCTTAAGATATATTCTGAAAATTCCAATCATTTCCCAAGTATATCATAGAGACATCTAACATGTTCTCTTCCTGTACTTTCCTCAGTGGCTCTTTTATCTTCTAACATATTGCATAATTCACTTTTTAAAAAATCTTTGCAAAAAAAATTAAAAATAAAAAAAAAATCTTTGCTGTAGTACGTAAATCCCATGAAAAGAGGGATTTTTGTCAGTTTCATACCCTGATCCTACATCCCAGTACGTAAAAGAATAAATGCTACTAATTATCCACAACATCTCATCGTGTCATATTGGTTTCCCATTCATCCCATTGCCAAAGCCTGCATTGCAATGCACATGGCAACACGGCAACCAGCGAACTTCTGGCAATTAATTTTTGCTTCCAAAATTTATACAGAGCATCATTTGAAATGATGCTAGGGGTTGTATGTATGTTCGGTAATGATTAAGTTCAGAATTTGACTTTCACTTGTAATCATAGGCTGCTATGTAAAACTTCCTTCATATGTGTACATGGCTTCTAAATTCAACTCAAATAGACTTGGAAATTTGAGACTTTTTTATTAGCATGGATATGTTTGGTCCATTATCCATTTTTACTGAATCCTCTTGTAATTAGCTAAGTTTCATATATATAATCTTGAAAATTTAGACAGCATTTAATTTTTATTTTATTTTATTTTATTTTATTTATTGGAGAGAGAGAGCAGGCATGCACAAAGGAGCAGGGGAGGGAGAGGGGGAGGGGGAAAGAGAGAGGGAGAGAGAAGGGGAGGGAGAGGGAGAAACAGATTCCTTGCTGAGTGTGGAGTGCGCAGCCCGATGCGGGATTCTGTCCCAGAACCCTGAGGTCATAACCTGAGCCCAAGTCAGACGCTTGATGGCCTGAGCCACCCAGGCGGCCCCTAGACAGCATTTATCTTAAGTGTCCAAATATTATTAGAACAAAACTCACCTTTCCTATTACCTTTTGTTTCGATTAGAATACTTCTGTATATGAAATAGTTATATACAATGTATTATAGGAATTACTGTGCTGTGACTTTAATCACCTACCTAGCATGAAAACAAATGATACAAGTCGAGTGCTATGTTTGTGCTTACCCTTTATAATAATTGGTTCTCAGTTTTGAGGATCCTATCTGGTTCTCTCTTAAATGTCAAATTTCCACTTCTCTTTTTGTCTTGATGTGGGGATTCCCAACCTCTTGATAACTGCTATAGTTAATATTATTTTATTTTGTAACACCAGCCTTTTTACCCAGGTGGCATTTAAGAATAATTAAGTTGAAATTAATTGTAGTTTGAGACTTGTGTGACATTTCTGAAAACAATTGGTGACAGCTCAGAATTCTGCCAAACCACAACCAAGAATCACTTCTTTAGTTTATGTTCGCCAAAAAAGGAAATTTTCTTGCTCTGTAATGAGGCATGATCGAAAAGGAAAAAGCAGACAGGGAAGGGAAGCGACATCCGTGGAGTGCTCACTGTGTTCTTAGCATTCTATCAGATGTTTTCACATATACCAAATTCTTGAATCTTCTGAACCACCCGCCATCATGTGAAAGTGGTCCCATTTTCAGAGGAGGCAATTAGAACTTAGACATTCTGAGTTATTTGGCCAAGGGGGCCCAGCTGGCAAGCATCAGAGCTGCGAGCGGGATCCAGGCCAACCTTGCTCTGAAGCGTAGGGGCTTTCCATTCACCCTACGTCTCCTGGTCTACCCGTGACACGGCAGCATGCGGTCACCATGGCACAGTGTGACCTCGAGTGGGTTTGGATGGGAAGATCCCGGCCACCGTGACCTATGAGAATGTTTGTAGGACATGGCGGGGCTCTCCCCCAGGCTCTTCCTTAAGGTCTGTAATGATATTTTTGGTATGTGATGTAAAGCTATCGTTCCAAAGAATGTGACTCAGTTTGAGCATCTGTCTTTGTATTTACTGCTGTTCTTATTTTATTTACATGAATGGCCTTTTGAGAAATTACACTGGAGGAAATCTTAGAAAAAGGTCAACTAGAAAACATACATAGGCCCATCTTATTTATGTCCCTCCAGAAAGGATACAAAACAGCCTCTGTAAATACAATCAGGTAAAATAAAATGTAAAGTTTGAATGGGAAGGTGGAAGAAAGGGAAACTGAGGCACAAAGATACAGTGACCCCAGGAGGAAAGTACTTCAAATGGATAGTGTACTTTTACAGGAAACAGGCCACATCTCTGGTTACCAAACGTCCTGGTATTTCTTGCTCCTGCCTTGGGCCTGGGTGTTCAACTAGATTTATAGGCTATTAGAATGGGAAGGGAGCCCATAGATCATCTCATTTTTCCTCTACAAATGAAGAAACTGAGGCCTGGTGAGAAATGTTGAGGTAAAAACTCACATCTCCATTCCTCAAGCTGCCTCCTAAAGAACCCATTTCTTTGAATTTTGATTCCTATATATGCTCTCTTGCCCACAATGGAGTATATTTCACAGGCCATAGAGAATTTCCATGGTGTGGCCACTGTGGCTGAGAATAATATAGTATAATGAGTAAACACATGAACTCCCCATTCAACAACAGGGTCTACCACTCCCCAGCTGGATGTCCTTGGGCAAATTATGTAACCTCTCTAAGATTCAGTTTCATCATCTTATAAAGTAGAGCTGATGATCTAATAGTTCATGTCTTAATAGGTCATGACTTGCTGGTGAAGATTGAATGAGATTAGGTATGTAAGACTATAAAAATAATTTTTAGCATGGCATAAATAATCATTATTATTGTCTTTTAATGAAGCATTTTTATGGTAATTCACTCCATCATATTTTTGCAAGAGCTGTACCTTCTTTGGTAGATCATGAAGAGTTAGTGAGAGACGACTGAATGTGAGTTTATCAAATGTTTATGTCATCTCCAAATTTTAAGCCAGTTCCACAGTGGATTCAGATGAAAGGTCAGATCAAGTGACCACTCCAAAAAGAGTGAGCTGACTTGACTTGGGTATTTTAACAGAATCTTCTGACCTGGGTGACTGACCTGCTTCTCATTCCTCTGTGTTGTTCTCCCTGGGAGACTGGAAATGGAAACTTAAAAGCCCCTGAATAAGTAAATGAACATAGTTTCACCAGCACCATTTTATGATGGGTTCGAGTTCCTTTGCAGAGCAGGTTGCAAAGAAGAAAGGACAAAGATCTTGAATATTCCTGTCATTCCCTCTAGAAAGCCACTTCCCACTGGCAGGAGGTGACCGAGGAATCTGCCATGGACATGCCAGTTGCCAAGCTTGTTTTCTGAACCCGAGGGCAATAACAAAACACGGGTGGATGTGGTCTTATTTTAATTTAATTCAACAAATATGTATGGAGTGCCAACTATGAGCTGCACATTATTAGTATTGACAACAGAGCGATGAATCAGATATCATCCTCACCCTCAAACACCTTACCATCTGGCTGAGAAACCTGATGGGTAAGCAGGTGCTTTAGTGCATAAAAGTTTCCCTTTTAAGAGCTATGTGTGCTCTTGAACTACTCTCTATTGCAGATATCATCCCAGTGCCTGAGGTTTGAGGCTGTTCTTACTGTGTTGCTGAGGTCCTGCAGGGATACAAGCCAGGGAGTGCTTCCATGCAATGTCACAATGTCGCATACAGAGTGGGTGTCCTGTAAGTTAACAGTGCAGCCAAAGCAAACTGAAAAGCCTGCCTTGGTCCTGCTCTGATCACCTCAAAAAGGTACCTCCACGGAGCGCTTCTGAAACCAGGTTTCACGTCAAAGGCAGGAAACAACAATCTCCTTCATGTAGCTCAGAAACTGAAGTGAAACTTGCAGCCAGGTTTCCTCTCTCCTCCCTCTACCAGCCCCTGCCTCCTGTGGCTTTGTATCTGAATTTTCCAACCAAATCCTGGAGTTAATTTGGCCTGAGTATCACTCACCCCGAGTTCCTCCCTTAGGGAGCCAAGGCCCTACCTTGGACCTTAGGTGGAAATATAATGAGTCTGTGGTGGCTACATTTTCTAAGTTTCTTTTGATTGCAAATAACAGAAACTAACCTTGGCTAGTTGAATTTAAAAAAACAAAAACGAAAAAAACGGGAGGAGAGTAGTACAGGGAGAGAAGTGGAATATATATATATATATATATATATATATATATATATATATATTTTTTTTTTTTTTGGTAAAGATATTAGTATTCTGTCCCAGAATGAACATCAAGAGACAATACAGAATCAGCCTCATGATCACGGCAACTCTGAAGCTTTCAGCGAACTGAAAAGCCTCCCTTCGTCCCTCTCTGATCACCTCAAAAATGTACCTCCACCGAGAGTTTCTGAGATCACGTTTTATGTCAAAGGCAGGAAAAAACAGTCTCCTTCATGTAGCTCAGAAACTGAAGTTAGTGGGTTTTCCAGAGAAGTAACTAAGTAGATCCCCGGGAAGTGAGTCCCGTGAGTGCATCCGGGTAAGGTGTTTGTGGGGGGACGCCCAGGGTCTGTGGGGATCTACCCTGGTGTACAAGGATGCAGCAGTCTCTATAGAAGGGGAAATCATCGTAAGCCCAGCAGCCATGCCAAGAAGTCCATGTATTGTTTTCTCTTTGCGCAAAACCGTCAGCTAAGAAGACCGGTCTTTAGGAGGTGGGACTATCGGTGGGAGCTATCATTTTATAAGTAGACTGCCATTTTCTTCGTTCCACCATTCAATCTAGCCTCATTCATGGTCTTACTAGTTAAAATCGATCTATACTCAATTCTGCTTTCCTGTTGACTCATTATCATTTCCCTCAGTTTACCTTTTGTTGGTTAAACTTTAGAAGAGTTTTTCGAAATAGAATATGGTTCCCCCCCAGTGGAGATTTGGACAGCTGTACTTGATGTTGTGGTCCTGTCCTCGTCCCGGGGCAGGGTGATCGTGGCCCTGGGAGGCTGCCTCCTCCCAGGCTCTTCTCTGAATTACTGTGGCATTCATTTATCCACTCACTGATCAAGTTATGTTAGCATCTCTGTCAGGAGGTGGGGACAAAAAGATAAACTTGGCACCATACCTGCTCTGAAGAGACTCTCAGGGGTGGGAAATGCACCTGTTGAAAAGGCAATGGCTTTATATACCAAGCGGGTCCAGCATTGTGGCTCAGGTAGCACCCCTGCCCAGAGATCCTTACACTGAACACAACTGGCCCCCAAGGCTATGCTTACCTCCCAGGCACTGATACATGGTAGTCAAGAAAATGCCTCCCCCCTCAAAAAGATGCCCATCTCTCTCCCTGCACCTGTGAATATGTTACGTTACATGGCAAGAGGGAATTAAGTTTGTAGATGGAATTGAGACTACTAGTCAGCTGACTTTGGATGGGGAGGTGATCCTGGGTTTTCCAGGTGGTCCCACTGTAATCATAAGGGTCCTTATAAGTGAAAGACGGGGGCAGTAGGGGGAGACCCAGACACATGGCCGTGTGGGCAGGCCTCACACACACCATTGCTGGCTTTGAAGTTGGAGGAATGGTGCCACCGGGGAAGGAATGGCGGCAGCCTCTAGAAGCTAGAAAAGACGGAGTGGATTCTCCCCTAGAGCCTTTCCAGAAGGAAAGTAGCCCTGCCAATACCTTGATTTTAGATTAGTGAGACCCATTTCAGACTTCTGACCTCCAGAACGGTGAGGTAATAAATTCGAGTTGTTTTAAGTCCCTACGGTGGTGGTGATTTGTTACAGAAGCAATGGGAAGCCACTACGGGTAGTTTGCTCGGTTACTTGCAAAACCAGGATCGACTAGGTACATCTTTCAGGAGCATCATTTAAAAAATTATTTTCATGTTAAACATACGGAAAAGGATGAACATTTTTGCATCATCTCTGAAGAGAAAGCATGAGAGTTCACATTTTTTCTAACTTGAAAACTGCTTTGAGCCCCGGGCTCCAGGCCCCTCGCCTCCACCGTCGGACGGAAGGGTTTAGGAGGCGCCCATGCGTCGTAAGAGCTGCCGTCCGTGGCTACGAGACTGCCCTTTTCATTCTTGGCAGAATGTCACACACAGGTCTTTTTTAACTCGACATTTAAAAATGCATGTTCCAGAGATGCGATCATTGGGTTTTCGTTTAAGAAGTTAAAAATACTTTATATCAAAGCATAATAACATCTCACCTGTTCATAATCCTTTCACAAACACTTTTTATCCAGTGCTTCGAACCGCCTTGTGAAGAAAGGGTAATCGTTCTTAGGTGTCCGAGGAGGAAACAGAAGCTAGAATGACTGTCCAGGGTCAACAGGTACCGAGTGGCAGTGGTGGCTCTTTCTGTGAGGCCATGGTGACCGCCGGGCACATCGCGGCGGCGGGGGGGGGATCTCTGGGGCGGGGGCACCTGGGAGCCAGACCCACGTGCACGAGCATCTGGCACGTTATGATGGTGTCCCACAGCCCCTGAGCCCGTGCAACGGCTGCTCTTGATTTAGGCGTCTCTGCTTTCATTATGACTCTGACACGAAGCCTGTCGCTGGCCCCTTGTCCTGATATGACTGGAACTGCTCTCATGAAAGGATCACATTGACAAGAGAGCGCTGACAATGTACAAGCGCGGGACCGAGGCTTCAGATACCTGTGAAAGCCATTTTTCATTGTCATCCCAGTCATACGGGTGTGAACTGGATGCAGAAGAAGGAGGCCAGAGTCTCCAAGGTCGGAGACCCTCTCCTGGCTTTTCTCAGTGCTCCTTTTCAAGTGACAGTGGGGCGTCCCGTGGGCCCGCTATCAGAGGCCACCGTTGGGTTTTCGCAGTCAGTACGTCGTGCATACTTGAGCACCGAGCACCGTAGAATCGTTTGGCTTTGTTTGTAGGTGTATTATTATTATCGTGTGCTTTTTAACTGCAGAGGTGGTCGCTGTCTGTCCTCATTGTCCCTCTTACTCCAGTTCAAGGTCTATACTTTTTTTTTTTTAAGATTTTATTTATTTATTTGAGAGAGAGAGAGACAGAGCATGAGCGGGGGGAGGGGCAGAGGGAGAAGCAGGCTCCCCGCTGAGCAGGGAGCCCGATGCGGGGCTCTGTCCCAGGACCCTGAGATCATGACTTGTACCAAAGGCAGACAGTTAACTGACTGAGCCACCCAGGCGCCCAGGGTCCACACTTTCTATAATCTTTTGAAGTATCTTTTCAAAGAAGCCTTCCTGACCACCTCTGTAAAATATCACCCTCTCCCCGACGCCACCCCCATCACCTGCTATGCCTTTATCTTGCTCTGTTAGGGTTTCCATAACACTGCTATCACCTGACATATTATATTTCTTACCATTTTTTTCCCTGGCTCTCCTCCCAGAGGAGTAGGTGCTATACCTTCTTTGTTTGCTGTTGTCTTCCCACTGCCTGGACAAGTGTCTGGCACATAGTAAAGCCCAATAAGTATTTGTTCAATGTATTACTAAATTCTTTACATCTCCCCGAATGCCTGGCACAATCTTGGGCCTGCCTTTACAAGACCCCAGTGAAATAAAAAGCAAAAAACCATAGCAAGGGGGAAGAAACCCTTAACTTACTTTTTTTGTAAAGGATCTAGTCCTGATCAGCCAGTCGACTGGGGGAAAGGAAGGGTGTAGAGTGGGGGAAGTTCAGAAGTGTTGAGTCAGAAGTGCTCTCAGCCTTGGAGGGACGCGCCCAAGCCCCCAAAGACTGGTCCCTGTTGAAACCCTTTTTCTGCCTGATCTTCTACTCCAGATGGAAGTGAAGGCAATCACGCATAAGCCAGTTCAGGTCATGTTCACTTGAGCAAAGCAAATTTTCATGTAGCTTATTTTGTTAATTAGGTGGTAGGAGACAGTAAGGGCAATGCAACGAGTCCACTGTTTCTGAGACCCACTGATTTGTTACGAGTTTGTTCTGAAACCAGTGAGAAGTAAGGACTATGGACTAAATCCTCTCATACCCCAGTGCATTTGTTGGGTTTTACTTTCATGGCTTTTATAAAGCCTACCTGGAAAACTTCCAGTTACAGCTTAAGGTCTGGATCCATGTGGCCTCCTCCATGAAAGCTTTTCCGAAGTGTTCCATAGGAGGGGTCTTCGGGGGGCCCCGGGCACCCCCAGCAAGCGTTGCCCGTATCTCTGACCCTGGTCTCATCACCCTGATGTTCATTGAAATGGCAACCCGTTAAGTGATATCCGTTGCTAGTTCTGTCTGAGCCCTAGGAGGACAGAAATCAGCTCATCATGCTTTATATCTCCAGTGTCCACCTTAAGTGCCTGGCACATAGCTGGAACTTGAGAAACGTCGAGAAAATGAACAAGTGAAAAGATGGGAACACAAGAGGCTAAAATCTAGCCACAGTCTCTGGTCGTTAGCACATGGGCCTTCTTTCTGGGGCTGCTCTCTGATGATGTTCTTTTGTCTTCACTCAGGCACTCTGATTGTCCTGAAACATCCCTACCCAAGAAAAGTGGAAGAACCTTGCATTTACGAGTCTGTCCGGGTTCACACAGCAATGCAGACGGGCAGAACGGAAAGTGACCTCGTGCCCACCGCACCTTCTGTAAGTGGCTGACCCGTAAGTCATTGCCTACCATGCAAGGAAGAGTAGATACTTTTACAAGTACTTTTGTTCACTCGAAAATTCTACCTTGGGATATAAAACCTGGAAAGGAACATCCAGTGTGAAGCCCATGACTCAGTTCCTGTGATCAGGGTAAATCATCAAAAACTACAGCGCCGTAGCCATAGGATTCTAAATACTTCGAAAGTGGCACTTACGTTCCTGTCCTTCCTTAGGATGGGCGATAGTGTTGATGTTTACATAGTTGGCTACACTGTTATTCTTTCACGAGTTTCTTCTATTAAGAAAAATTCTTTGGGGGGGGGCGCCTGGGTGGCTCGGTCGTTAAGCGTCTGCCTTCGGCTCAGGTCATGATCCCAGGGTCCTGGGATCGAGCCCCGCATCGGGCTCCCTGCTCCTCGGGAAGCCTGCTTCTTTAAAAAAAAAAAAAAAGAAAATTTTTTTTTTAACATTTCAATTGTCTGTGGAGGAAAAATATTCCCCACTTTGACTGTAAAACCTCAGGATGTTAGTTTTTCCTATTTTTTCTGTCCTTCACTGAAGGAAGGGAACAGACAGAAAACATTTGCACTTCTTTGCAGCGCGGACCATTGTTCAGTTTCAGCGCAGCCTGAGCACTCATTGCTCCTCAAGAGCCCATTTCTGTTTGTTCTGTGAGCTGTGACCTGCAAACATTCCTCCCGGCACCGCTTCCCCCACCCCTGCACTGTGCTCACGGCTCTCCTGTTCTTTCTCTCTTCCTTGTTTGCCGAATACTCCTGGTGCAAGATACCAGGATTCGTGCGCATAATAAAGAAGGCAACACACAAACGAAGTACAAAGAACCAATTCTAGACAGCAACCATTACACTTGGAAAAAAATCATCCCTTGAAGATATTCAGCTACAAGTGACATTTATAAATGTGTGGCCTTCCTGTCTCTGCAGGACAGTTTCTACCCTGCCACCACAGAGATCTTTCTTAAAAAGCAGATGGGTCACATGGCCTCCCCACTTAACCTTTGGCGGTGCCCACTGTTGTCCTGGCCCATCTGGCCTGCTCGTCCCTTGGTCTCACCTGTGTTACTCCCACGCTCACACCAGTGTGCATTCTCCTGACCGTGCTCCTTCTCCCCTCCCCGCCTCTGACATGCTGCCAACACCGCTGTAGTCCCCTCATCATCCTTCAAGACGGGCATCAGAGACCAGTGTCTCTCAGGAAGCCTTCCTGGGCCCCTCCTAGCTTTCTTTAAAACGGCCCTCTTTTGTGCTCCGAGCACCTTCTGCTTGCCTTTATCCTGCAATCATGGGGCGGGGGGGTTGCTAACTACCTGTGCATGTGTCTGCCCAACACCCCCCCTGGGGGGGGGCTGACAGTTCTGGGGACAAGAATCATAACTTGTCTTTGTGGCTTTGGAGCGTCGCCTGGTTCACGGTGCACGTTACATTTTTGTTTCTGTGCTCCATCGACTCAAAAATAAAAATCTTGGAAATGGTTGAAAGAGGTATTTTAGCTTTGTTAGAGTTAGGGGAGGAAGCATCAAACCCCAGAACTAGCAAAATTGAGGAAAGCAAGACCATAAATAGTCCCAAGTTAAAACGGACCAAAGAACAAATCAAGACGTACCTCCTAATCAATTCTTTGATTTCCAGCCAACCCACCCCTCCCTGACTTTCCTCTTTATCCATCCTCCTGCCACCAGTCACCTCAGCGTCTCTTTCTTTTCTTTTCTTTTTTTTTTTTTAAGGTTTTATTATTTGACTGACAGACAGACAGATAGCGAGAGAGGGAACACAAGCAGGGGGAGTGGGAGAGGGAGAAGCAGGCTTCCTGCTGAGCAGGGAGCCCGATGTGGGGCTCGATCCCAGGACCCTGAGATCATGACCTGAGCCGAAGGCAGTCGCTTTAACCGACTGAGCCACCCAGGCGCCCCTCAACATCTCTTTCATCTGTCCTTTCCATGTAACTTCACACTCTCCTCGGCTACACTCCCCCTAAAGATCCCCACCCAGGGTCAGTTGTACCATATACCCTACTACGTGTGCTCTTTATCAACACTAAAATGCAGGACCTAATCTGTAGAGCTGGTGTAAGCAGGAGAGCTAGCATCCTTAGGTAGAAATAGGCCTCTTTAAACCAAATTCTGCAAGCCTTACTGCCTACCTTTGCTCACTCCAAGGATCGGACGGATTCTCCTGCCCAAGTATCTCAATATGCCTATGCACAGAAGGTTCTGTATAATGGAGTTTTTAAAACAGTGGTGAGGGATTGGTGGGGCCTGGCTGCACCCACACTATATAATGACAAATCCACGGAGTTTATTGTGCATTAATACAGACAGAAAATGATCAACGTTTTCTAGTGTTGCAGGCAGAGAGAACAGGACAAGCGCCCTGAGGTAGGAACTAAATTGGGGTGTTTTGAAGACTAGCAAGAAGATCCTAATGATTGGCATGAAGTGAGCGAGAGGCAATGTGGTAGGAGATGAGATTCCTGAGGGAAGGAGGGGTCGATCATGTAAGGCGGTGGGGTTCTCAAAGTGCCGCTGCCCAGCTGAGTGCTGGGAAATTTGCAGTGCTTTGGGGGTACTCCTGGCATTAGCGGGCATCAGGAACTGTGAAGAGCCTGACACTTTACCCTGCTTGTAGACTAACAAAGCTGCATGGCTTCATGGCAGACTGCTGGTTGGCTGCCTTTTCCTGTGGAGGGAGACATGATCTCCATCTTCTAAGATTGTTTGCTCTACAAACATGCTTAAAAATGGGTCTGAGGGGCAGCTGGGTGGCTCAGTTGGTTAAATGTCTGCCTTCAGCTCAGGTCATGATCTCAGGGTGCTGGGAGTTGGGCTCCCTGCTCAGCGGGGAGTCTGCTTCTCTCTCTCCCTCTGCCTCTCCCCCCCATCCTCCCACTTAACCCTCCCCCGCCCCCCCTGCTCATGCACACTCTCCCTCTCTTTCTCTCTCAAATAAATAAGTAAATAATCTTTAAAAAAAATACATACGGGTCTGGAACAAAGGGCTGTTGGTGCCTTGCTCCTAAGACATACAGAAACATGAGAGCCCCTGGAGAATTGTTTCCCAGCAATGGGCAGGGGCCATGGAGGCTAAATATGCTGCCACACATGGGGAAGAATTCTCCTGTCCAAAATGTCAGCTGTGTCTCCTTTAAACAACATGAAAGGCCTTGTAGGACAAGATAAAGGATTGATTTTTGTTCTAAGTGTCCAGAAGAAATTATGAAGAGTTCTGAGCAACATAATTTAAGTCTTAAAATTTTTAAAAAGCCCATTGTCCCCACTAAGTGGAAAATGGAATGTGGCCAAAGTTGGAGCAAGGAGACCGGTGAGGGGGCTGTTGCAGCAGTCCAGTGAGAGATGGTGGTAGTTGAAACTGGGGAGTGGGGATAAGAACTGGTGAACTTCAGGGTGTGCTGTGAGGTAGAAGAGATGAGACTTACAACAGATTGAATGTGGGACGCGTAAGAGAGTCACACAGTGGTCCTCCTGACGTTTACCAAGATGGCCAAGGTGGCAGGAGGGGTGGGTTTGGGGGATGGGAATGAGCCGTTCTGTTCTGGACCTGGGAAACGTGAAAGACCAATTGGTTGTGTTGGTGGAGATTAAGTGAGATAATCTATTTCACAAGCCTGATGTAGAATAGGTCCCAGTCTAAAATGTCAGTTTTCTGGGGCGCCTGGGTGGCTCAGTCGTTAAGCGTCTGCCTTCGGCTCAGGTCATGATCCCAGAGTCCTGGGATCGAGCCCCACATCGGGCTCCCTGCTCAGTGGGGAGTCTGCTTCTCACTCTCCCCCTGCTTGTGTTCCCTCTTTCACTGTGTCTCTGTCAAATAAATAAATAAAAATCTTTTAAAAATAAATAAATAAATAAAATGTCAGTTTCCTTAGCTTCCCTTTTGTGAGATTTCTGTTCCCTTTGCTTCTGCAACATTTTTCTCTTTGTTCTGTTATCTTACCAATGTAACATCATTCTAGAACAAAATGTCCTACAAGGAATTCAGTTTCTTTTTTTTAAGATTTATTTGACAGAGAGAGATAGTGAAAGAGGAAACACAAGCGGGGGAGTGGGAGAGGGAGAAGCAGGCTTCCCGCTGAGCAGGGAGCCCGATGTGGGGCTCGATCCCAGGACCCTGAGATCATGATCTGAGCCGAAGGCAGACGCTTAACAACTGAGCCACCTAGATGCCCCAGGAATTCAGTTTCTTTGGGACTGTATGAAGTTCTAAATTTCTTCATCTTAGGGTTCTTGTTTTATGCATTATTTCTCTTTGCCCAGTTCCCCACCATTCCTTACATTTTATAGGCACTAGCTACGTGTGTGATATTGTTACCCTTGAATTAATGCTATGAGTTAAGAAATGACTCATTGTCACTTCAAATCCCTTTTAGATAAATCAAGTGTAAATAAATCTGCGTTCCTGAAAGTCTTTTCCACAGAACAGAGGTCTCAAGAGATGGTCTCTGAATAAAGCGGGGAGGGGGGGGGCCTGGAATGGGGGAGGATCATGTGATAAAATAAATATTGGAAATGCTATTTCTCATGTTCCTTCTTAAAATTCCCAAGGCATACTGGCATAATACATTCTCTGGGAAGTAAAGAAATCCCTCTACTTCATCCAGTGTTTCCCATATGTATTGACCCAACGTCAGTGCCTGTGTGTATGAGCGCGTGCATATATTTGTGCGTAATACCCCTGCAACAATTTAAGCAGCTGGGTTTCACACGATACACTCGGCCAAACACTGACTTTTACAAGTGATGGGATGTGGCTTATTGCTTGCAAATTGCTATCTCAGGTTAGAAGAGAGTCTTTCAGTTGTTGCCTCTTGCTACAGAATTCCCCCCAATGACCCAGTCTGAAAACAGTCTCCCACAACGCAGGGAGGATTTTCAAGTGCCGGGTGAAGAATGTAAGGCGATTATTTAAAGATCAAAGGCAAATCAGTGTTTCATTTTAAAATAGGACAGAAATAGAAAGACAAAAATCATGTTGCAATAGTTCTGGGCTTCACTTGGTGCTTTTCTTTTTCAGCTGGGCACCAAAGAAGGTTACCTCACCAAACAGGGGGGCCTGGTCAAGGTAAGAAAACATGTTTCTGCTAGCCCCCGCCACAGAGACGTCTCAAAGCAATTCTTGCTTTGACATTTTTTAAAAATGCGTATTTGCCTACTCATTTTGACCCGCTATAATATTTTTCTGTTTCAAGAGTTGATCTTTACAACTGATATTAGTCAAAATTCTGGAAAATCACTTGACTTTTCTTTGGCAAAGTCAAATGTGAGAGTAGCCTCCCGTTAAGACCTCCCAAAACGTACAGTCCTTTTAATGGAACAAGCAGGATGAAAAGTAGCAAGTTAACTCTAGAATATTTCTTTTCTTTTTTTTTAAACAAAGAAGAAGTCAAAATTGCATGAAATGTTTACTAAAAGTAGGCCAAAACACCACTGGCATTAATGTAACTGTATCAAATCCCAAAGAAAACACAATTTAAAACTTTACTAGTCTGGGGTATCCGACTGTCCCTCCATGGATGTAATTGTACTTGTCAAGTTATGCTGCTTCATGTTAATATTCCAGAAGGCCTTCATGGAATATGTCCACTCCTCCCTATTTTAAGAGGGCACTTAACCTCTCTCATGGGTACCGGCCCACTTGAATTCAACCTAAATATTTGGTTATTTTGTGTCCCTACTAGACAGGATACTCCCTAAGGGTAAGAAGTATTTATACTCATAGCATATTTATTTTCGAGTTCTCTGTTACTTCTTGTAACTGGGCACATTGCTGCCCAAGATAAGAGTGAGTTAGTACGTAAGAGGGAGAAGGTGGGTAACAATAGTCCCCACCACCAATACCATGGCATTCTTAGGCAAGTCTTAGAAAATCCTGTGGTTTGAGGTTCCTATTGCACATGTGTGAAACGAGAATATTTGGCATTGTGTAAAGATTGGGTATCATACACATAAACCTCCAAGGATGGTATCTAGCCCACAGTAGGTGCTCACAAAATGGTATCTATTCTTATTAGAGAGTTAATAAGACAGACATCTAGTGGTTTGTTATGTCAACTTGGATATTTATGATAGACTATTTCTTCTTATTTGTTTAAATATGTCAATATCTCTGCCTTCATTATGAACTTCATGCATGGAATCATTTTAGTTTTTGTAGATATTTTGAAGCTTTTCTTCAGAAATGACTTACCGCAACAATATTTTATTGTACCTAATCTTTTAGATAGTTTTCAAATGAAAGGAAATTGTCCAGTTCAAATATTACCTTCCTCGATCCAAAACCTACACGTTTTAATTATTTTTTTTTTCTCAGACCTGGAAAACAAGATGGTTCACGTTGCACAGGAATGAACTGAAATACTTCAAAGACCAGATGGTGAGAAACATGATAATACATTTTCCCTTTAAAAATTAGCTCTAACTGAACATAATAAAAAATCAGCTCTCTAAATGGAAGGAACATCTGCCTTTGAAATCTCTGAAATTTTCCTTATGAGCACCTGAAACACTAATAAATTATTGGAAATGTGAATTCTTGATTCCTGTTAGGGTCAGAGTTTTTTTTTCTTTTTAAGTAAGCTTTACACCCAACATGGGGCTCGAACTCATGACCCCAAGATCAAGAGCTGCATGCTCTGCCTACTGAGCCAGCCAGGAGCCTTGAGCAGAGTGCTTTTGCAAGGATGAGATGTGTGTCCCAGACACTGGCTAAACTAGCTGCCCGGGGCACATTATCCCCTTGTTTAGGGCAATGGGATTGTTCTCTTGTCATGATGTATGAGCTCTCTCTGCAGCAGTTTCTCCCTTTATTAAAAATATGTCCATGGGAAGCCTGGGTGGCTCAGTCAGTTAACTATCTGCCTTCAGCTCAGGTCATGGTCCCAGGGTCCTGGGATCAAGCCCCACATCGGGCTCCTTGCTCAGCGGGGAGCCTGCTTCTCCCTCTCCCACTCCCCCTGCTTGTGTTCTCTCTCACTGTGTCTCTCTCTGTCAAATAAAATCTTTTAAAAGATTTTTAAAAAATACGCCCATTTCTGGGGTGCCTGGGTGGCTCAGTCGGTTAAGCATCCCACTGTTGATCTCAGCTTAGGTCTTGATCTCAGGGTTGTGAGTTCAAGCCCTGCATTGGGCTCCATGCTGGGGATGGAGCCTACTTAAAAAAAACAAAAACAAAAAACAAAACAAACAAAAAACTGTCCATTTCCCGTGCCCATTTCATTAAGCCAATTTGAAATTATTTTATTTCTTCTCACTTTCCCTATACCAAATTTCTGAGAAAGTAGAAGTTTAAAAACACGGAAGAAAAAATATGACTCCCTTCCATGTTTAAAATACCTCTACTAAATTTAAATTGATAAAGACAGTCTTCCTAACATCCAGTCTCATGAATAGCCAATCCCCAAACCGGGGGTTATGACTTCCCTGATTAAGCTTCTCTGTGATCAGTACCCTTAGTGAAAGTAAAATTGACAGGTGCATGCAGTGGAAGATTTTTAGGGGACTAAGTGATGAACAAATTTGTGTGTTTTTTTGTGATGACATAGGTTGCCTTTTTTCTTTTTTTTTAAAGTCACCAGAACCAATTCGGATCCTAGATTTGACAGAATGTTCGGCTGTGCAATTTGATTATTCACAGGAAAGAGTAAATTGTTTTTGGTAAGTTGTTTTGTAAAGAAAATGATTTTAAAAGTCTTCTTGCCAATTATTTTAGCTGGGGAATTAAAAAAAAGAAAGAAACAAAAAAGACCTGTATGTCTTAATGTGTACGAGTGTCTTGATCTGAGGGGCATGGATTTAACTAACACACAGGGCATGTATGTCAGCAGTGCTTCCAGCTGAGTGTGACATAATACCTCATTTAAAGTGACTTCAACCGGGGGATGCCTGGGTGTCTCAGTTGTTAAGTGTCTGCCTTCGGCTCACTTCATGATCTCAGGGTCCTGGGATCGAGTCCCACATCGGGCTCCCTGCTCAGTGGGGAGTCTGCTTCTCCCTCTCACACTCCCCTGCTCCCCTGCTCATGCTCTCTCTCAAATATATAATAAAATCCTTAAAAATAAATAAGGTGACTTAAACAAATAGGCAGGTCCAGTGGCTACAATTGTTTATGTTGTATGCTGTGTAAGTATATACATAACAGGATTCCATTCATGTTTTATTCCTTTGAAGCTTTTTACTCAATTTTAATTTTGACTCCAACAATGGGACAATTTCTGGCAGATGGCACAAAAGTGTTTTTGTTCTAACCTCATGAGTGTATCATAGCAATTTTCTAACTAGGAGAAGTAGTGTCTTGAAAAAGGAGTGCCTTACTTCCCACAAAGTTTTATTTTAATGTTTCTCAAACATACAAATGTTGAAAGACTTATATACCCGTATACCTTTCAGCTATATGCATCATTAATATTTTGCCATATCTGCTTTATCTCTATTCACTTTTCTCCTGAACCAGTTGAAAGTAAATTGGAGACATCGTGGCACTTTACCCCTATATACATATACTGAGTACGCACTTCCTAAGAATAAAAATGTCACCATTACATACCCCCCCAAAATTAACATTAGTTAATTAACATTAACAGCAACCAATAATGGGTATCTTTTTAAAATTCACTTAAATGTACCATACGAGCCAGCAGGGGGAGGTAATTTCTTATGTAACAAAATATCAGGAGGCAGGTAGCTAGCTTGGCAAGATCGGCACCAGCGTCTCTACAATCCTCTTGGCCTTCAGCAGTTCACTTGCTACTTTGGTGTGAAAGAGCTACTCTAGCTTTAGGCCTCACATTTTCATGTCAGTCATAAAGAAGGATGTAGGGATGGTATCAGCCATGTCTGTCCCTTTTTATCAGGAAGACAGACATTTTCTCAGGAGTCTTCTGTCAGATTTCCCCTCCTCTTTCATTGGCCAAGGTTGGGTCCCATGGCCGTCACTAGCAGCAGGGGAAGCTAGAAAACTAGTTAAGATCATGATTGGCTCCAGCTAATTATCATTTATTGCCTGGGGTTCTGTTAGCAAGGAGAAAGGAAACATTATCTGCATTAATAGGCAATTAACAATGTCTCTCACAGGGAGTACCAAACAATGACAATTCCAGAAAGCAGTTTTGTACAGTGTGAGCACGGTAACCCCACCCCCGCTCCACTGTCCCCTCACTGCCCAATAGGTCCTCACATCAAGGTTTACCTTCTATACACAGGGAATTATGTCTTGTCTATTCAACATTAATTACTGATACGAACATGATATGCTGCTTTGGCTCTAGGGATATAGAAACCCTCCTGAATTTCAGGTCAAGGCTTTTTTTTTTTTTTTCATGAGGGGGGAAAAAGGGTTTGTAGTGTTTTGCACATCAACTGTAAGGACGGGAAGTATGGGCACGATGTGCTGACCTCATTAGTCAAAAGATTTGACTATATAGCCAAAGATACAGTCAACGAAGAGTTGTTCATGCCAGTGGGAAAGTTTGTCTTCTTCCAGCAGAGCGTAATTCATGACAGAGCGGGCAAAATGAATAGTTGAGGAGATTTATTATCTTATTTTTCCTGTCCCAAATGGTTAAAACTGCCTGCATCCACAGAGGGTAACTTGTTTCTCATTGAGTCAAGCCAACACAAATGAGTTTCTTCAGCAAATTCTTATCTGTCTTGCTTATTCTTTGACTCACGGCACAGGTTCTGAGTCGTTTAACACATCAGCTGAATAAACACACAAATGTTGTATTCAGTCTAAGACATAAGCGACAAAGGGATCTGGGGGTGTCCTGGACATGTTTTTTTCTTTTTTGAATTCTCATTAGAAAATATAAATCTGGCCGGTGATAATATGAATCTCCAGCTTCCTCAACATTTCTGCTGTTTGCTGGCAGGAATCGCTGTGTATCTGACAAGTCTTCAAGTTGCTCTTTGTTGAGTCTTTTTTCCTGTTGAATATTCTAATTACTGTTCAACTAATATATTCAACCAACCACCTGGAATATCTTAAGTTTTTCTTTTGTCTTCTCAGCTTAGTGTTTCCATTCAGGACGTTTTATCTTTGTGCAAAGACAGGAGTAGAAGCTGATGAGTGGATCAAGATATTACGCTGGAAACTGGTGAGTTATACTAAGTCCTCTGGATGCCTAGTACTCAAAAATAACATGTTGACAAATTCAAACATATTTCTATTGAAAGTGTCGGACTATTCCCAAGAGTCAATGGGATGTCCACTGACAGGCTCATGGAATAGTCTGTTCATTCTTGTGAGACACAGAAGGCACATAGGCGGGGGGTAAAAGAGAAAGGACAGAGCTACCCTGGGATCTCAGCCCCAGAGCCTTAGCCTCAGGCCCTCAAGTACATTAGTCTTCGTTGAGTGTGCTGCCTGGTCAGTCCAGTCTTGCCTGGAGGAGGACATGTGGGATCAGAAGGTCGGACAGAGGAAAGTTAACGTATTTCTATAGTAGAAAATCCTTTTAAATAGTCAAGAGAATGAAGCTTGCCGGAGGAACTTAACTTAGCTTGCAGTGTGTTACTTTGTGAAGATCAAGGACAAAATGTAGTTTATTTGATTTGCTTCCTATATACCTCCCAGGGGTGGAGGGGGGAGAGAAAAAGTGCTTAAAAAAATTTACCAGTCTCATACATTTTTTTTGTGTATGTGTTTGCAACTTAGTGAGTTGTTAATCAAGAACTTGTCCTTAAAGCCTTCTAAAATTTTCCATAAATACCATCTTGAAACCCTTGATGTTTTCGAACGTAAACAGTTTTTCCTAATTTGTTTTTATATAATTAGCTGATATGTAGAAACTTGTTGAGTATTCTTTTCCAGATGCTGGGACTTTTGCTTTTGGTTATCTTCTCAGTTTGAAATCCAAATACATATACCACTGATTTTGAGATAGCCCCTATGTATTTCATACTCAATGGGGAAATATTTTGCCATGTCAAACATTTGCTCAGATATGAGTCAACTTTTTATTCTTCGTATTTTGTAATTACGCAAGTGACACATCATTATTAGAGGAAAAGTTAAGGCAAAAATATATCAAATTCACACATTTGCAGACTTCTCCCTGTGCAAATAAATATTCAAAAACAAAAAATTAATCATTCTTTCGTGTTCTTTACCTGTGCACTCCACTGATGTATTATAAACATTTTTCCCTATCAATAAATTTAGATTCCCAACTTGCACATGTTTTAGCAACGACCTCACAATATTTATCCTGAGAAAAATACAGAAAACCATACTGAAAATTGTCACATGTTGATTATAGTTGCACGGTGTCCTTAGTAACAGCAGGTCTTATTTAATATCTATTAAGTTCACGATCTTAAAATTGCTCAATAGTCAATACCCATGTGTGTTTGCTTTATTACAGTCTCAAATAAGAAAGCAGCTCGATCAAAGGGAAGGCACAATCCGGTCTCGGTCATTCATCTTTAAGTAGACCTTTTCTGACCCAGGACGCCCTGACCCAGGAGCAGGGTGGCATGGTCCCTGACGCTGTGACCCGCAGGAAAGCTGACTGAGGACTTTTCTTTTCAAAACAAATAAAAGCAGATGCGGATTTGGACCTTTGAGAACCCACCACATTTGCAGACTCTCGGGTCACTGCTTGCCCTTCAAGATATTGTCGTCTCCTGGAGAAGACCAAAGTGTCACCGATCTGATGGAAACCGATGAGACCACCAGCCCAGGCATGCTCGCTCTTAGAGCGCACCAGAGAAGATCAAGGGTTTTTGTTTTCCCTCACTGCGGTCCCCAAGCTGGTTGACATTACTTGCCTGGAGTCCCATTCTGCATCCCCGTCAGCCCATCGACATCCGGGTCTTGCTGTCCACCGGGAAGGGAACAGCTGCGTCCTCTGACTGCTTCTACAGAAAGTATATGGAAATAGCAAACACCAAAGACTGGGGGTGGGGGTGCGTTGTTTTTGCTTTTTTTTTTTTAATACAGAAAACAAAACAATTTCCAAAACTAAAATGGGAAATGTTCGCGGTTATTTTCCCTTCGTTAAAGGCTCAGAAATCTAGTGGATCCTGCCTTCCCTTCTAATAATAAGCCTGTGAGAACTAAATGTCCTGTAGGACGTCAGGTAGGATGATAAAGATAAAGGAAGGTAAAGCCTAAAAAACATCTTAATCATTTTGGGGAGGGGGAAACATTTTAAAGAGTAAGAAAACAAAGTGAGGGAAGGGAATAAAATAGTAGGTAACTTGGAGTTTAATAATAGTAATTGGCATGATTATTATCACTATAACAATAATAGAGCACTTGGAAGCACCAAGTTGTCTGCATCCAACATTTCTGCACACAGACGGAGAGACTTCTCAAGCAGAGAAGAATGCGCTATGCCAATCTCGCCCCCCGGGTGAGCTGTCCCTGTTGGCCCAGGGGAAGTAAGATTCCCCTTGCACTGAGATCGCCGAGCACCCTGAGCCCTTCTTCAGGAGCAACTTCTGTTGCCGGTTGAAGGAGCAACACTAAATCCACGTGAAATATATGATGATGTGTTACACCGCATTTTCAAGCTAGAATAAGGGGGTTGAAATCGGGAAACAAGATGCTGGCATCCAGAACTCATAGATTCTAACCCCTTCCCTTATCTAATTATTAATACTGCTTTTTTAGGTAAGATGTTTGAAGGGAGATAAAAGTGGAGACCCCAAAATAAAAAAGAGTATGGTGCAAAGCTCTGATACAACACTGCTTTTGCAGTCCAAGTGCATACCTTGATAAGTAAGTTTCTTCTGTTATTTAAACATCCAGGACTCAGAAGTTATATTACATTTTTGTGTATTTCAACAAGGCTTTTAATGTATTTTGTTTTGTGTGTATCATATGAGATAAAGCAAATGTCAAGTTAAAATGTATTCTGTCAGGTTCACCAAGTAAGGAGTTGCAAATGAATCCTCAGAGATGTGAGGCTTAGGTTTTGTTTTCTTAGAACCAAGAGTTTTTCTTTGTGTAGGTAATACCGTTCTTAACCTTTTGTAAAATATGTCATGTTTATTTATATTCTTCGGTTAAGTTTATTAAAAAGAGCATTTTGCTGTGCCTGTAATATTTTGCTATTAAAATACATTTTTAATATCTGTAATTTAAAAAGAAATACGACTGATTAATGTCATAAATGGCCATGAAGAACCCACTTCCGTTAGAGATAGTGCCGGTCCTGAGGGAGTTCTTAGTTAAATAAGGAAAAGATAACAAATACATACATGATAACATATGGAAGTAAGACAAATTCTGCCCGTGAGGCACACAAAGCTCTATGATGGAGGGTACACCTCAGCAGGGATAGAGTCATTTTTGGAGGAGTTCTGACATGAAGAGGTCAAGCTAACCTATAAGACAACATAACATATACTACGTAAGTCACTGGAACTGCCTCTGCCTAGGAAGAGAGTAAGCTGGGGGCAATACCACACTTCTGGAAGGGTCTCGGAGCTTAGTGTCACCATCAAGGACTTGAAGGATGTAGGGCTGGTGACCCCCACCACATCCTCATGCAGCCCACCTATTTGGCCTGTGTAGAAAACAGATGGATCTTAGAGAACTGACCGTGGATTATCAATCAGGTGGTGACTACACTGCAGCTACAGTTCTAGATGTGGTTCCATTGCTTGAGGAGGTTAACACAGCCCCTGGTCCCTGACATGCAACTGTTGATCTGGCAAATGTTTTTTGCTGTTAGTAAAGACTACCAGAAGCAGCTGGCCTTATCTGGCAAGGCCAGCGATCCACCTTTCGCTGTCCTACCTCAAGAGGTTTATCCTACTTCAGTTCGGCCCTATGCCATCATTTCGTCCCCACCGCCCTTGACCTTGATCACATTTCTCCTAAGACATTGCATGGGTCCACTGCGTTGATGACATTATACGGATCAGGCCTAAGGAGCAAGTAGCAGCAACTGTTCTAGACTTAGTGGTGAGACATTTGTCTGAGGGTGGGAAATAAATTCAGCAAAAACTCGGGAGCTTTCCACCTCACTGGAATTTTAGGGCTCCGGTGGTATGGGACAGCTCGAGAGTGCTTTTCTGAGGTGAAGGCCAACTTGCTGCATCAGGCCCCTTTCACAGCCAAAAAAGAGGCACAACACCTAAAGGGCCTCTTTGGATTTTGGAGGCAATAGATTTCTCATATTGCTCATGGAATTTGTTGGTTTTACCATGTTCCCCATCATCCTGAAGCAGCAGGCCCGATAGAATGGCGGAACGGACTTTTGAAGACTCAGTTACAGCACTCCCTGGGGTGGGAGGCAGTACCTAGCTGGGCTGGGGCGGTGTCCCCAAGTTCTTAGGCTGTGCTAGTCTAGAGGTTCTTGTTCCAAAGGGAGGAATGCTCCCACCAGGAGACACACCAATGATCTATTCAACGGGACATTAAGACTGCTACCAGCTACTTTGGGCTCCTGTCTCTGATACAACAGGTAAGGAAGGGAATGGCTGTACTGGCCGGGGTGACCGATCCGAATTACCAGGGGGGAACGGGGCTGGGACTGCACCACGGAGGGAAGAGTACGTTCACAACACAGCACGACCTCTAGGGGATCTCAGTGCCACCGAGTCCTGTGACTAAAGTCAATGGAAAACTACAGTTCAGTTAAGGATTGGATTCTTCAGGAATAAAGGTTTGGGTCACCCCACAGGCAGAGCCGTGACCAGCTGACGTGCTCGCTGAGGGCAGAGGGAGTATGGAATGGGTAATGGAAGGCAGTTATAATCATCAGCTACAGCTACATACTCAGTTGAGAAACAAGGCCTGTGATTATTACACTTCTTCCTTGTTTTGTGTGTACATAACAAATATGTATTATAAATACACACATACTAAGAAAATTTTTTTCTTCCCTCTTGTATCCTCTTATCATCTAACATAAGATGTATTAAATGTGGTTAACCTTACATCACAGCATTTAAACTGTAATATACAAAGGAGAAAAGTGAACATCGCCCAAGAACTTTGCATCCTCTTCTGCAGAGAGTGAACATGTTCTCTGTATGTGGGTTAGTTGTTTGATGACAGAAATACAACTTGGTTACTGACTTTATTTGGAGGCTAAGTGTGCTTTAGGAAGATGTCTTATGATGCCAAGCTGACAAGGGTAGACTGTGAAGGTTAGTTCTAGGTGTCAACTTAGCAAGGCTGCAGTCCCCCATTATTCAATAGACCATGAATCTACATGTTGCTTTGTATTCTGTAGGTGTGCTTAACGTCCATCTACAATCCACTAAATCTAAGTAAGAGATTATCCTCCGTAATATGAGCAGGCCTCATCCAGTCAGTTGAAAGGCCGGCCTTAAGAGCAAAACTGAGGTTTCCAGGAGGAAATCGGGTCTTCTGCCTGAAGACTGCAGCTCAGCTCCCGCCTGAGGTTGCCCAGCCTTCTGGCCCAGCCTCCTGGCCGGGGTGACTGATAACCCCGGCCTTCACAATCACATAACCCAGTGAAATACATTTCATACACATCTATCCTCCTGCTTCTGTTTCTTTGGCAGTCCCTGACTGATATGATTTCCCTCTCCAAATACCCCATCACCATACGATTTTGTTTGCTGGAATATTTTATGATTTTTGAAGTGAAAAATTCAAAAACCACCAATGCAGTTTACAGTGAAAAGGCTCATTTCTGGGATCCCTGTGTCCCAGGTACCTGGCTTCACTCCTTGGAGGTTACCAGTGTTACCAGGTCCTTCTCTACTATATACAATCAAACATGAATGTACACGTGTATTTTTTCTTATATATAAACTACAGCACACCATGCAATTTCACACCATGCTTTTCTCATCGAACATCATGTCTTGGATTTCTATGTCAGTAACTAAAGCATTTCTCCATTCTTTTTCCCATTGGGCAAACGCAGTAATTTATTTAACCAGTCCTTTATGATTAGGGTGACTAAGTAATTCCTTATCTAAAGTGGGACACTTGAGAGTTGAAAGGAGCATTCATAGGGGCGCCTGGGTGGCTCAGTCAGCTGAGTGACCCACTCTCGGTTTTGGCTCAGGTCACGGTTGTGGAGCCCACCGCGGGCTTGGCAGAGAGTCGGTTTGGGATTCTTTCCCCTCCTACTCCTTCCCCCTCTAGTTCTCCCCTCTCTAAAATACATAAAAATCTTAAAAAAAGAAAAAAAAAGGAGTATTAATAATTACACAAAAAATAGCAGGTATAACCTGGTACTGTTAGGAAGCACAGAACATAAGGCTTACCCTATCCATGATGGGATATTTAGGTTGTTTCCACTCCTTTGATATCACCAAGTTGCAATGAATACAGACCTACAAATATATAATTTTGCACATGTCCATTTGTATCAGTAGAAATTTCTAGAAGTGGAATTGCTGGGTGTGATAACTAATTTTTTATCAACATGACTGGCCACAGGGTGCCCAAATAAACATTATTTCGTGTCTGTGAGGATGTTCTCCTATCATTCGACCTGTGGACTAAGTGGATTGCCCTCTGCAGTAGGGGTGGGCATCATCCAATCTACTGAAAGCCCAAATAAAACAAAAGCTGGGGCAAGAAGGAATCTGCCACTTTTGCTTGCCCAAGAGTTGGGACATCTTATCTCAACTGCCCTCAGTGGGATTCACACCATTGGCTCCCCTGGTTCTCTGGCTTGCAGATGGCAGCCCATGGCAGTTCTCGGCTTCCAGCAATTATGAGAGCCAATTCCTCACAGTAAGGCTTTTATATTTGCGTAACATTTATATTTACACGTGATAAAAAATGTGTATCCTCCTGGTTCTGTTTCCCTGGGGAATCCGAATACCCTAG